ACTGCAGGGGGGGGGGGGCGTCCTACAACAAACACAAACCAAACGCTTTGGGTCCAGCAGGACTGGAATGGCCTAGGTTTTTGCTTTTCAGCGGGGGGGGGGGGGGGGGAGGGGGGGGGGGGGGGGGGCGGCCGTTGCATTGTATACATATCTTATCACTATCATGCTAATCAGTCCATTCCATTCGGCGCGAAGACAGCTGAGAGGGTGCTAAGCCAGCGTAGTGGTCCTAGGCCGCAGTTCAAGCGCACAGACAGAGGCTGAGCTTTTAATAGCCATAAAATGGCCACATCAACATTTCAAAGACTGAACAACAGCTAGCCTACACTTTTAAACTAAAACACGTGTGGTTGAGGAACAGCAAATGATCAGATGCATATAGCAGACAACAGTGACGTGCGGTGAGGATTGTGGATTGGGGAGTGCACGGACTTTAAATGTCAGTTTTACTGTCATTATTAAAATAAAATAGCCTTTAATCACCGGATGCAATATCATTTCACAAACTTCCCAGGCTGAAAAAGATGAGAAACTAGCTTCTTTTAAAAATCTCACAACCAATCTAGTTGCTGACTCTCTGCTCCGCATCAACAATAATCTTTAAGAAATCAGGTGGAGAGACGTGACAGAGAAGAGAGACGTGAGCAGAAGAGGAGACGTGAAGCAGAGAGAGAGAACGGTGAGCAGCGAGAGAGAAGCAGAGAAGAGACGTGAGCAGAGAGAGAGAGACGTGAGCAGAGAGAGAGAGACGATGACAAGAGAGAGAGACGGTGAGCAGAGGAGAGAGAGCAAGAGAGACGTGAGCGAGAGAGAGAGACTGAGCAGAAGAGAGAGAGACGCGAGCAGAGAGAGTGCGAGAGAGGAGAGCAGAGAGAAGACGTGAGCAGCGAGAGAGAGACGTGAGCAGATAGAGAGAAGCAGAGAGAGACGATGAGCAGAGGAGAGAGAGACGCGAGCAGAGAGAGACTTGAGCAGAGAGAGAGAGACTGAGCCGAGAGAGACGTGAGCAGAGAGAGAGAGACGCGAGCAGAGAGATACGTAGCAAGAGAGAGAGACGCGAGCAGAGAAAGAGAGCAGAGAGAGACGTGATCAGAGAGAGAGAGACGCGGCAAGAGAGAGACGTGAGCAGAGAGAGAGAGACGGAGCATATGAGACGTGAGCAGAGAGAAGACGTGAGCAGTGAGAGAAAGAGTCCGTGAGCAGAAGAGACGTGAGCAGAGAGAGACGTGAGCAGAGATAGAGGCGTGAGCAGAGCTAGAGGAGAGAGATTGAGCAGAGAGCGACGTGAGCAGAGAGAGATAGACGGGAGGGAGTGGAGAGAGAGAGCCGAGAGAGACGTGAGCAAGAGAGAGCGACGCGAACCGAGAAGAGAGAGCAGAGAGAGACTGAGCAAGAGAGAGTGAGACTCGAGCGAGAGACGACGTGAGCAGAGAGAGAGAGACGTGAGCAGGGGAGAGATATAGAGACGTGAGCAGAGAGAGACTGAGCAAGAGAGACCGTGAGCAAGAGAGAGAGACGCGAGCAGAGAGAGACGTGAGCCGAGAGGAGACGTGAGCAGAGAGAGAGAGCATAGAGAGAGCTTGCGCAGAGAGAAGGAAGACGCGAGCAAGAGAACGTGAGCAGAGAGAGCGAGACGTGAGCAGAGAGGAGAGACGTGAGCAAGAGAGAGAGAGAGACTGAGCAGAGAGAGAGAGACGTGAGCAGAGATAGAGAGAGCGAGACAGAGAGGAGAGAGACGTGAGCCAGAGAGATAGGGTGAGCAGAGAGAGACGTGAGCAGAGAGAGAGAGACCGAGAGCAGAGAGAGAGATCGAGCAGAGAAGATGAGACGCGAGCAAAGAGAACGTGAGCAGAGAGAGAGAGAGAACTGCGCAGGAGAGACGGAGCAGCAGAGAGAGAGACGTGAGCAGAAAAGAGCGAGACCGAGCAGAGAGAGAGCAGCCGGGAAGCAGAGAGTGAGAGAGAGAGTGAGCAGAGAGAAGACGGAGCAGAGAGAGAGAGACGTGAGCAGAGAGAAGAGAGGAGGTGAGCAGAGAGAGAGAGAGAGAGAGGTGACAGAGAGAGAGAGACGCGAGCAGAGAGAGAGAGAGGTTGAGGCAAGGAGAGAGAGACGTCGAGCAGTGAGAGAGACGCGAGCAGAGAAGAGACGGCGAGCAGAGAGAGAGAGATGCGAGCAGAGAGCGAGATATGCGAGCAGAGAGAGAGAGATGGCGAGCGAGAAGAGAGAGAAGATGCGAGCAAGAAGAGATGGGGGGGGGGGGGGTGGGGGAGGGGGGGGGGGGGGGGGGGGGGGGGGGGGGGGGGGGGGGAAAGGGCGAGCAGAAGAGAGAGGCGTGAGCAGAGAAGAGAGAGAGAGACGTGAGCAGAGAGAGAGTGAGCATAGAGAGCGAGATGCGAGCAGAGAGAGAGAGATACGAGCAGAGAGGAGAGACGTGAGCAAGCGAGATAGACACATCAGAGACAAAGAGACTTGAGCAGAGAGAGAGGACGCGGAGCAAGGAGGGAGAGGAGAAGGGAGCGAGCAGAGAGAGAGTCTCGAGCAGAGAGAGAGAGACCGAGCAGAGAGAGAGAGACCGAGCAGATAGAGAGAGACGCGAGCAGAGAGTGAGAGACGCGAGCAGAGCGAGAGTAGACGTGAGTCCGTGTCTATGGCCGCGCTCGTAGCCCAGACGGCAAGTGCGATTCCACAGAGTTGGGGGGGTTCAGAGCGGGGGTCACAGCAGCATGCTCCCGGGGCCAGAGCGGAGGATGTACGTAACGTTCGTTTATCAAACCAATCCACAATTTTTAAACGTATAACACTATGAAGTTTCACCTAGATTTTCAGACATTAAGACAAGATGTTATAGAATAATAGTTTAGTGAAAAAACAATTTTGCCACAAGCACCAAAAGATGTGCATCAGACAAGAACGCACCTGGGTTCTCAATGCCCTGTATTTAATCGAACCATTGCGGCCAACAGAGCAACCTTTGGGCTAGACAGTTTTGCACGCCAAGTCATATACCTGAGCGTCTAAGACGCTGCAGAGGGCTAAAGCGGACTTAGCCTGCCCACCTTGTGGCGATAAGATGTACGATTTTTCACGCAGCTGCGTGATTCCCGAGAAGCGTGAATGAAACGAGAAAAAATAGGAATGGACCTACTGTAGATGTGGAAATGACTGTCGGTCTGCGTATATATTTTATTTTGATAGACTTGTGGAAGATCGTTGATGAATATTGAAATAGGATGGGGACCAAAGGGGAGCCCTTTATCAATTATGCATTTGTTGGACTAGGAACAATGTGACAACACACATATTGAAAATGGCGTTGGTATCAAGACCTATTGCGTTAAGCTGTCCATAGAAGGGAGTGATCTACTAGAACAAAGGCTTTGAAAGATCATGGAATATGGACGCCCCAGAGACATAGTTTGGTCAAATCAAGAAAATACATCATTGATACATTTTAACAGAGCAGTGGTGTTGGTACCTTATCGAACCCCATAATGGATAGGGAACAAAAAATGAATATGCATTAGTGGTAAGTGATATAACGTTGGAAAAATCAAATTTCAAATAACTTTGGCAACTGCACAAATAATAAAAATTGCCGAAAAGTGGTTAAGACAGTGGAAGTGCTTTTTCAATGACACTTACCAAATTTTCATGGGTGTGGACGTTCTGTTATTGTATCGGGTTTAATTTGATATTTCTTTTTTTGTTCCCTTGATGTGAGTTTTGCTTGTTCCTGTCTGTCTTTGTTGATTGTTTGCCCCTCCCTGATGTGCTACACCTGTGGCCACCGTGTGTATTTAGACCCTGTGCTCATGTCCTCTGTTTCTGGCCAATTGTTGTTTTTCCCCCCTTCTCTTGTTCCGGTTTCAGTTTTTACTTTTTTTGGCATTTATTAAATTATTTTACTTTTGCAGTTCTGCTTTTGCGTTCATCGTCTGACAACCAAGGAAAGATTAATCCAGACCGACAGAGGGCTCAACAGCTGGGCATGAAATTTGGCGAATAGAACATGTTTCCACCTCCACCAACTACATCAAGGGGTGCTCCTTCAATCACTTCATTGAAAAGTTTGCACCAATGGTGTGGGCACACAGGTCATTCTAAAAAATAATAAACGCAAACAGTAAATTTAAAAAGGTATATTCAACCCAACTGAGGTTTCTACAATTGCCTGAACAAAGTTTTGGTTAGGCCATGTTCTATGTTTCTGGTCTAACTGTTTGTAACCTCCCGGGGATTGACCAAGGCTGGTCGCGCTCTAATCTTTACATAACTACCAGATGTCTGTAAATTAAGGCCCAAATGGATCGGCAGGAATTTTGGAACTAATCACAAAATGGATTGGCCTAGGCTTCATAGTAGTATTCAAGATAATTGGCTCTGGGCTGGTGTGGCAGATGATTCGTACAGGAGGATCTTGAGTACGTCGATGTTCCAGTTATCCGCTTTCCGGATAGTCTTCTATAAGAACCAAGACCATCATCCACAGCGTCAGACATCCTCATCATTCCCGAAGGTTTCGCAGGTTCTAAAACTAGCATATCCTTGTAAAGGAGAGGAGACACAACTGTGCACTTGTGAGGATCTCATCCAATTCTTGCAGGGTACTGCGACTTGGACTCTTGTGGTTCTGCCATCTCCACCAGAGTCGATTGGCTGAAACACAACGGTCTGGGAGTACGAGGGGCAAAGCTAACTCCTTCAGGAGATACAAAAAAGGAATTCATCGAGCTATATTGGATTGAATTTCTATAATTGTGTAGACACAAAAATTCGGCTTCATCGTTATCCCACATGACATCCTCACTCGGCCCTGGGGAAAATCAAACATGAGAGAAGTAATGACATGAACTGACCGATTCTCCAGGTACTCATGGCTGCCTGCTTCCCCCTGCAGAGAGCACGCACAATCATAGTTATTATAAAGGTAAATGTAGCTGCTTCCAGCTCCTGACTTCTTTAGGTTAAAATGATAGTCATCTCTGCACTTGCCTTCTGACTCACCGGGCCGCGAGCTCCAGGGAAACAGTCGAGCCGCTTTCCCGGCTCTCCTCTGAGGCCTGCAGCAAAGAGTCAGACATGAGACAGAATCTACTCATGTGAAATATATACAGTAAAAACATGGATTCTTCTGCTGCGCGACATGCTGTGGTCTTGGATTTTTGAAACAGTAACACACGACCCTTTAAGATCCCACAGCTAAACATTTTTATATTGACCTTTATTTAACCAGGAGAGCTACACCTGAGATTCAGAATCTCGTTTTGAGATGAACAAGGTAAATTATCCATCAAACTATTTCCTTTTAGTTGAGGCTTGTTCAACAGCTGAATGTTGAGAGAGTTGCTAAACATGCTAAATATTGAAAAATTCTGTTAAATCTTAAACCTTTTGTCCTCTGTGTTTGCGTGTCTATATTTTGGTCATAGCAACAGTTGCTAAGGAGTTTTTGCTGGTTCTTGGCTCATTGGCGCAGTGGTTAGCGCTTGTTGCTTGCAGCTTGGGTTTGATCCACACTCCAGGCCTTTCTGGGTGGTGTAAGCACGTACTACCCAGTGTCTGCATAGGTTTCCTCCAGTGGGGCTACGGTTTCCTCTATCACTAAAAATATGTACAGTAGGCATGACAATTGCCTCCCTGAATGGTGAACCCACTCCCATGTGTTGAGTGAGCGGACGAATGCCCACAGCAATAGTAAAACGCTTTGTGACTCTGGTCTTTGTAAAGCGTTATACAAATAAAAGATTACTATGTGTTTTGGACCATGGTTTAAGCGTCCGTGCCTCATGTACTCAAACCATACAAAAACAAATAAACTTGCTTTGCTGTCTCTGTTAGTGGGAAAAATTAGTATAGAAAGTCTGACCTGCCATATGGGCATTGTACGTCTATCATATGGAATGAAATTTGGTTTATGTTTTATCCAACTGCAGATCTAAGGGTCTGTGTTCATCTTGCATCTGTCTGTGTTTTGTAAAAGGAGTTCTTTGTGCACATTGGCTGCTTTAATGTGGGGTGAGGTACCTGTTCTCCTGCGGGACCGTCCTGACCTTCAGACCCTTTTCTCCCTGGATTCCACTTTGGTCCACGATCGCCCTAAAACACAGATTGCATATTAGGAGTGGGCTGACGAGTGTGACATCATCACTTGCAGCATTAATGAGGAAGAGGCCCATTTGAACATAAGCTAGCTGGAACCAATATCCTTATATGGGCATTTGTTCTGACAGTGTTAGCTTCTCGCCGAAACAGGGGGAGACGTGTTGCTAAGACAGTTACCAAGGCACGCTGGAGTTTCCACCGTGAATGAAAGCATCTTATTGGTCAATCTTTATTTGGCTCATATCTGGATTTACAACAACAATATTACCAAGTACCTAGGATGAGACAGGAGGGAAAGGTGGCTTTTCTGTGGCTGGATCAAAGCTATGCCCAGATTCAAACTGCTCCTTCTGTGAAGTGTTTTTAAGTCCTGTCTTAAGACCCATTTGTATGATTTGGCATTTGACATTGCGTGAGTTGTAGGGTCCTTTTTAATTAGTTTTACTGTTATTTTCATATGTACACTGTATATGCACACGCGGTTTGTGTGATTTTGATGATTTTACTTTTTTACTATGGATTGGTTTTAATTAGTCTTTTATTGTTACAGCACAATTTTGGAAACTGTGTTTATGAAATATTAGAATATAAACTACAGGATCAAAGAGAGTGCTAAAACCACAGATTTTCTCTGGTCTCCCTGGTCTTTCACTGGTCTCTCTGCAGCCTCTCATTGGTCTATGTCTGGTCTCTTTATGGTCTCTCTCGGTGACACAAATCATTTCTGGGCGAGATAGGTTTACTCTTCAATGAAAGTCAATAGAAGCCAAGAGCGAGTTGGAGGCAAACTTTATCCTAATGGCCGTCTTTGAGCAAGCAGGTTTTGCATTGTCCATCTACTGTGCAATCTAAGACACAGCTGCATAAATCGCACATTCTATAGGCAATATAAAAATGATACAAGTGGACGGTTTATTTCTTGTAGCTTCACTGCCATCTTTGATTTCAGTTCCATTAGACACTCACTTGCTCTCCTTTGTTGCCCTTTTCGCCCTGAGGTCCTCCAACCAGAACAGTGTCTCCCTGCAAAAACATCATGCATTTATAATCAGACAACTCAATTTTTAATCACACACAAGTCATAAATATAAAGCGTGGTTACATTATTGCACAGTAGTAGCAATGATGAGAATATGTTTAATACAATATGTCTACCGTTGTGTTGTCACACTACTGAAATATGCATATACCGAGGCATAGACTTAAAGGTATGTAGGAGGATTTTCATCTACCAGGTGGATCTAGACTTTTGATCCTTCAAATTGTAAATTATTCTGGTGACATGTGACGTAAGGCCGTCGTACATGCTTGTCAAACAAGACTGTTTTTGGGAGATTCTTTCACACAATGGCGCGCAATGAAAAACCCACGTTAGGCTTCCCATTTTTGACTGGCGATGTGAGGGCAAGGCAGACTTGGGCGACGTAAAAGCCGCAACTCACAGTGGGAGAAGCCTGTGCAGCGGATTGTTCCATTTTCTCTGTTTATCGCAATTTATAAAGTTCAAATATATTTCCTTTAAACAGAGCATTTGAGTGGATGGGGCATAAATTTGTGTTATTGACAACAAAATGGGTCTTTTATCGCGCTCAACCACGGCTTGAGAAATCCCCAAGTGAAGCCAGCCTCCAGGTAGGGGGGCGATAGGACAAGGAGGCTTTCTGGTGGAAAGCCTCCTTGTCCTTCATCTGCTGAGGGCAGCTACAGGTTTGGCTAACATACATTGTAACACATTTTATTATGTTTAAAGCCAAAGTTATGCTTTCAATGACGGCATGGCGACTTTCAATGCAAAGTCAACGGATGACGTCCGTCCATGCGAGGAATTGCATCCTCGTCGCAGCACGAACGTTTATCCTGTACGGCAGATGCCTTGTTGCGGAGAGACAGAGGCAGGTACGGCGGCTAGATGCATGCAGCGAAAGCAGGAGATGAACATCCTCGCTTTACACACATGTGGCAACCAATCAAAGAGCAGCAAAGTGGTCACAGGGAAACAAGCCGGTCCAAACAGACACTCTAAAATCAACCCAAACAGGAGCTAAACCAGGGCTGGGAAAGGGGGACACACTTGCTTGTGAACATATGTCTTCACCCTGAGTTTATATTGTACTGTGACTGTAAACGAAGTAATGCTAGCGTGTTCGTTGATGAAGTACCGCCGTTAGCATCAATGCCTGACCACCACTTCCGCCTTGTGTTTTTCCCAATGCAGGACAGTACGGCAGATTGACTAAAACTCATGCAACTGCACAGATGCTAGTGTTATTTGTCAGAAACGCTCACACAATTTACTACTGTCTAACTTTGACCATGGCACGTGTTCTGTCCTGTGAAGAGATGTCTGGTTTGTTTTGCTGTTTAACAGTATTTTAGCGGTCACCATCAGCCGCGGCCTGTGCATAAAGGCGCAGAGGATTGAAAACGCTTGAGCGCACACACTGAAGACGCACATATGACACCCGCTCCCTGCTGATGGACTTTGTTGTTTTGCTGAGCGTAACATGTTGCTCATTAGATCTCATTGTCATTAACATTGTCGGCACACGGCTGACCATAGACTCTCAGACCACTGCTGACCCTTCAGTCGGGTTGTGAGACTGTTGACGGCAAAACGTGAAATTCCCCAGTTCAGTTGATCCCGTGTTACCAGACACTGACTTGGATCAAAGTGCACATAACAAATATGTTCTTGTTTATTCACTAATGTTTATAGTGCATCGTCGCTGATATAACATAAACAAATTAAAATCATAAATACAAACAGGCAGAAAAAACTATATACAAAAATCCCCTTTCTGAAGCCCCTTTGAGCTCCGTCCCAGACTGTAGAAGACGGTGAGTTGGATATTAAGATGCACAAACCTTTTCTCCTTTGTCCCTTGTGGCCCGGATGTCTCACTGAGGAAAGAGAAAATACAGCTGCACTTCAACACCTCATTCACACACGGCCAAACGCTTAGGGCCACTCGCAGATTACATGACAGTGTTAGAATACCAAGAGGAAGAGGCCTTGTGACTGGTTACCTTGGGCTTAGAAGGTTCTTAATAAGACAATCTGGCATATGAAAGCCAGATTCTGTCGGCCTTCTGAAGCTAAGCAGGATAGGGCCTGGTTAGTACTATGATGGGAGACCTCTGGGGGAATACCAGGTGTTATGGAGTGAAAGAATAATGACATGTGAAACATCTGTGAGTGTCCATAAAAAGTACTATATAAAACCCATTCATTATTTATTATTATTATTATAAGTGTAAAGAAGCCTAGTGTCTGCTTAATTAAACACATTTTTGGCCTTTTGCCTTCGTCAGAGGAGACACATATGATTGTAAATCTAGATGAAATGATTTTTCTCTCTGGTCTCTCCATCAGATCCATCCTACTGTTTTTGCCTTGGTCTTGTCCTGGTCCATTATGTCATGTGAAAACTGGGTTTTCCAGAGTTGTTTATTTGTTTATTTTTATTTTTATTTAGGCATACAGGAAAATACATAGTTACAGTACAATAACAACTTAGGTACTACTGGGTTAGGGTTTAGGGTAAGTATGTGTGGTGATTGGGTTGTGTGTTGTGTGTGTGTGTGGTGTGCGTCAGCGTGATGTGTAAGTGTTTTGAGCTTCTGGGAGATATAAAGCTGAGAAATATATACAAACATGTACACCTACATATACTCTTTCACATATATAGACCAGGAATGCAATAACTCATGACAATCAAACGGCAACTAACAATAAAGAAAACAAGTACAAAAAGAATAGATTAAGTAGATATTTGAAAACATGACTAATAACAATACTTATGTGTTGTTTTCCCCTGTGCTAGTGTTGCGTTAAAAAAAAATGTGTGGGAGTTGTTTCTTGCCAATGCAGGAGGGTCTAAGGACAGTGCTGATGATGGAGAACACTTAACATTCAACAACATTTATCAACATGAATATTCATTGATCTGCCGCTGATGGATTTTTAATGTTGCATTTCTTGTGTTTGAGCTGGTTGATTCTCTTATCTGTGTCAGCAAATTGACAACTTTGTAAAGTCCTCCGAGACAGCTATAATTGTGATAGTAAACAACCCAAAAAAAATTAATTGAATTTTCCAAGGGCTCTTTGTATTAGTTTCCGTATCTGTCATGTGATAACTAAGCTTCTTTAAATTTTGTCTCATTAAAAGAACCTTCTAAGCCTCAAAATTTAAAGACAACATAATGAACTTTTTACGTTTAATGAGTGGTTACCTTGTCACCCTAGTGCCTCGGACCCCTGTGAACCCCTGAAACAAAAATAAACAGTATGAAAAAAGTGAAATAATGAGAGTCTGCGTGTGAAGTCCCCGAGGCGGTTGTGCTTGGTCAGCCGCTACACAAATAAATAATTATGGTGTGTTTTCTCCTGGGGGGCCGCTGGTGTTGATTAGAGCAGGGTGAGTCAGAAATTGCAAATGTTTGGACACAACAAAAGAATGTGTCAGTGTTGTTTATGGGGAACGTGATGAATGGATTTTTATCTGAGCGAGAAAACACTGTATTTACAGGCCTTTATATTCTTTGTTTAACTCTAGTTTTTTAGAACTGATTTTTCATTTTTTGAGGGGTTTCTTGCGATGCTGGAGGGTCTAAGTACAGCGATGATCTGGGACATTTAATAACATTTCTAAACAGTGGTCACCCCGCTCCTAAATGGATAAATGGATCCTTTGTTTGTTATTATATTGTATTTCCGGTTTGATTCTCTCATCTGCTGTTGGTGAAGCGACAACTTTGTATTGTCCTCCAAGTACGACCGCTGTTGTGAGTTAAGGCTATGATCACCAGTGCATCCACACATGTCATTTATGTGCTACAGTGCCCATGTGATCAGGCTTACATTGGTAAAACCACTCGGACATTAAAACAGAGAAATCAGTGAGCACAAGAGAACCATCCATAGGAGCGACAGACTTCCCTGTGGTTGGAACCATAACCACGACATCAGTGCTCTAACATTCTGGCATTTGAGCAGGTCCCCCCTCCACCCAGAGGAGGAGACCACGACCGGTTGCTCAAACAGAGAGAGACTTACTGGACCCACACACTACAGACAGCTCCAAAAGGCCAGAATGGACACTTATAATGTTATCATTATTCTTATAAAAACATTTTCTGGTAAACTTAGAAGGTTTTATGATACAGTAGTATGTGTATATGGCAAAATGTGTAGGACACTGGTGTTTTCACAGTGCCTGGTGACTTTATGACTGTACTGTACCCTATATATTCAGATCTACTTCTATTTAGACTTTTATGTACATGTATTATATATATTACTTTTTTTTAAAATATTTTTCACCTTTCTGTGAATGTGATTTATTGTGAAATGCTCTGTGTGGTGACTGTACACCCTTGGGTGCCTGCCCCACCCTATTCAAAGATGACTTCCTGATGCAACTTCTCTCAGTTGTAACACCAAAATGTTGAAACTCCGAATTAAAACATATTTTGCAATAATTCTCTTTTACCTCTACGATGTTCTAGGATTGCTGTGGTCAAGTTTGTGGGTTTAAGTACCAAACATTGGGGTGACTCTTTTAATCGAGTCCGTTGCCCTTGTGGTTAATAAGCCTTTTTTCTCATATGTCTGGCTTTTAGGATGACATCACAACATTCCAAATAGTGTGAACCCACAAAGAGATAACGGGATTTTGTGTGTGTTTGTCTGAAGGTAAAACTGCGCAAAAGAGACTGAGCTGAAATCTGGGGTGTGGATGGGATGTGGTAGAATGACCCGAATCAAATCAAACTGAAGGTTGATCCGTGGTCTTGGCGGGGTTATGTGTTCTACGAGTGCTCGCTGCAGATTATTCAAATACAGAGGATGGAAAGCTAAAAACACGTCTTGTTTCAGTGATAATTTTTACAGCATCAAAAAAAGCGAACAGCGAGTTCAGAATTGATCAAAATAGTCTTCTGAAATCACAAAGGGTTCATTCCGGAAAACTGGTCTCTCTCTCTAGTCTCTCTCATCATCTTCTCGGGTCTCTCTCTATTCTCTCTTCATCCTTCTGAAGTGTCTCTCTCAAGTTTCTATGGTCTCTCTCTAGTTTCTCTGGCCTCTCTCAGGTCTCTCTCTAGTCTCTCATCTATCTGGTCTCTTCTCTAGTCTCTCTCTGGTCTCTCTCTAGTCTCTCATCTCTCTCTCTGGTCTTGCCCTAGTCTGTCTCTAATCTTCTGGAGTGTCTCTCTCAGGTCTCTCTCTAGTTTCTCTGGTCTCTCTCTCTGGTCTCTCTCAAGATCCTCACACCTCTACTACTCGGAGTTCCTACTTACAGTCAACCCTCTTTCTCCATCAATGCCAGATCGTCCATCTTCCCCCTGCAGGATTTTAAACATGTCAGAATCATTTTACAATATTTACAACTTAAGCTCAAGTAAATGTGAAGTCGTTTACTCTTGCTCCTGGTTCTCCCCTCTCTCCTCTCTGCACCGGGGTTCCCACTCCACCTCTCCTGAAAACACATGAACAATCACGTCAATTATATCCATTTCCCTAGTCCAGTTGTCCACCAGCCCATGCTTGGCCCTACTCAGATCTACTCAACACAGATTGGGAGTGTTTCAAATACTGTCTAAACTGTTGGTTGGTTGCTAGGATATGGAACCAGATAATGTTCACCTTGTCTCCTTTGGATCCGTTTGTACCTGGGGCGCCCTTCAAAAAACAAACAAAACAAAAAAACATATTCATTTGATTTAACACAGTCTTAAATTTGTATTAGTAAGTGCTCTAATTGAGCTGCAGTAGAGAAATTTCACATGAGCTAAACGTCTTGTAAATATCATTCTCACTATATTTTCATTTTCTTACCAGAATCAGAATTCTTTTTTATCACTTTTTTATTGTAAGTAACAGGAAATTTGCTTTTGCTCAAGGTACAAACCAGTTCTAAAAGTAAAAAGGAATGCATAAAAAGATCTTCATAACATGTCTTAAAATTATGAATAGTTATGAAATCATGAATGATAATTATAAAATTGTGAATCTAGATTTAACATTTAGCAAATATCCTGTGCATTAAAGGGGTACAACATTCAATCCACAAATAAATGGAAGGATCCACATATTACTGTGTGCAGTAAAAGTACAGGACTCACGGTTTCTCCTGCAGGACCAGCTGGACCTGCAGCTCCCGGGTTTCCTGGTCGACCAGCAAAACCTTGAAGACCCTGAAAGATGGAAGATTTCTCACATTAACATCAACATAAAGGTGTAACTTTTCCACCTCAGGGCTGACCCTTCACTCAGGTGTGTGTCTGTGTCTGTGTCTGAGTGTGTATGTGTGCATGTGTGTGTGTGTGTGATTCTGTGTCTATGTGTGTGTTTTTCTCTGTGTGTATGTGTGTCTATGTGTCTGTGTGTGTGTGTCTAGGTGTGCGTGTGTGTGTGTGTTTCATACCCGTTCTCCTAAGGGTCCCGGAGGTCCTGGAGCTCCGTTCTCTCCTCTGACTCCTGGAACGCCGTTATCTCCGGATTTCCCCTGAAGACCTGGGGGACCAGCCGGACCGGGGAGACCTGGATCTCCCTGGAAGTGGAGGAGGGAATGAGAGTGTGATTTAATGCATATCTTAAGGATCAAACCAGGGAAAGAAACAGGAAGTAGGGTTTGTGTGGGTGCAAAATATATTACTAATATATTAACATTGGAGAAAAGGGATCCATGCATGTGCAGATAATCAAACACTAAAGTTGCACACACAGTTCAGTTCCTGATAAATGTCCTCAAGGCTCAAGCTGTTCCATCTTCTCATTCTTTAACAATATCAGAAGAAAAGGTACACATTTGTACGCGTTGTACTTGTGGAAAAGAGAGGGAAACAGGAAAACCAAGAATCAAAGCGTTTGTGGAAACGAGCTCATCCTTTGCATCTGTGATGTTTTATAATAATCAAATGAGATATTTTAACCAAACTTTATATATATAGTATAAAAATAATTGAATAGGCCAAAGGCCTGAAGGCTCAGTGTTGTAGACTGAGTTTATTGCAAAACAAATTTGGAAAAAAACAAACACAGTAGCAGTCCACTAGGAGGCCCTGATTGTCACAGACACTGCTCTCAGAAAAGTGACCATTTCCACATTATTCCACCTGAGATATGTCGTTGTCCAGGAGAGGTGAGGGGAACCGAGGAATCCCAGATACACAAGAGAAAAGCCAAGTCAATGTGGAGGATTTTGAGCATTTATTTAAAAAGGAAAGTCCCATTGAGATCCAGAGTCTGTTTCAGGGGAGTACTGGCCCCAGAGAGAAGAAACCTGTTGTACATGTTTTTTTGTGGTGAGGGAAAAAATATGCAGACACAGGGAGAACATGCAAAATTCACCCAGAAAGGCCCTGTCTGGAGGTGGACTCAAACCCAGCACCCTCTTGCTGAGAAACGAGAGAATACACTTGTGACATTGGTATGTAACTTCAGTTATCATTTTGGTAAATCATGTGTGGCTAAATTATGTACTGTATGCTGAAGTTCACTTTGGTGCCAGGAGGTCTGAGGGAGCCCACATGGCGGACGCTAATGGAGAAGGCCTTGTTACATTGTCCTTTTGCTGTCTGTTGGTTCCTCTTCCTGTGGAAGGTGTGTCTTATCTCCTCCAATACTGCTTTGCTGCCAGACTAAGGTCAGACATGCTCTGGAAGGAGACTGAGCTGGTTGTGCTTTTTCTCTTAAGACATGTCTCCTTGGAAAGGAGTATTAAGATAAGATAAGATTTGCTTTATTTATCTCACATAGGAGAAATTTACAAGTATTAAATAATGCCTGAACTATGTCTTTTGTCCATGTGATTTTGTCAGGATTGACTGTACAGCACTAACAACTTGCACGCAGTGATCTCATCCCAAGGTTTGTCATGTCTTCCAGATTTAAAGATGGCCTTTGTTTCCTCTTGTACAGAACATTCAGTGAGGTGTAACAGAGGCCCCATAACTTTGCCACCTAACTTCGCTGATGCGTGAATGTACTGCTGGGTAAACTCAGCTTGAACCAAAATAGAAAACGTCTCTCTGGATGCACAGTATGTTGTTGACAATATGTTAGCCCGCAATTCACTTCTAATACTCACTTTTAAGCCTGGAGGCCCGATGCGTCCAGGTGGGCCAGCGAGTCCTAAGCCTTTCTCTCCCTAGAAAGAGAAGACAGCTACGGATTATTTCAAAAGCCACATCAAATCAGTAACATCAGCAACTTTTTATCATCTGAAAAGCATTGCCAGAGAGTGTGTAAGTAAGATACAGTGTCTAAAGCAGACTGGGAGATTCTTTTCCTGGATTTGCCTCCAGTAGATCAGTAAAACATCTTTTGTATAAGACAGAGCCCTGTAAGTCACCATTCGATGCTTTGGGTGGAGAACGGATTGGCCTATTGAGGGTGGTCTACTCTTTTTAACTTTTTCGTCTGATAAAGCTCATCTAATCAGGTGACAGAGGCCAAAAAAATGTGCATGTGAAAACTAGTGATAGAAGATAGAAACTGTTTTGAGGGACCCCGGTCATTAGATGGGTTTGAAATAGTTCAGATTTATGTGGCTTGAGAAATTAGGCACCCCAGCTTTAATAATACATTTAAATACACTGTACCTTATCTCCTTTGGGCCCCGGAGAACCTTGCGCTCCCTGTACGACCAAACACAGACAGACAAAATTCAGACAAGGTCATTTAGTGTTGCATATTTGCCTTATGCCTTATATATCTATTCTTCTTCTTATAACTGAGCCAAAGCAAATTCCTACTTTGTGACTTCCCGTTACTTACAATGGCAATACAAAATATTTGTGATTCTGATATTTTTAGCTTGGTCGCTCCTCCTGTTTATCTCCTCGTCTTCATCCTCATCACATGTGAATCTGTCATTAACCTTCAGCACGAGACACAATCACGGCCCCATTATCTCTGGAGATTGGTCTGAAATACAACGGACGTCCCAAGAAACGCAGAGCGACAATTTGAATATAGATGGATGGCCTTGGAGACGCCAAATGAGAGAATCACATAACGAGCTGGTCATGGTTTTAGAGCGTTAATTAGACACAGACAGACGGCGCTGGCTTCGCTACATAGATAATAATGTGCTGTTGTTTATGGTCCTACATGTGTCACTTTTCAAGGTTATCTGCAATTATCCTAACATGGTTCAAATTTAGATTTACAAAGACAATATCACAATTTGAAGTAGCAATATGTAAGATTTTCATGTCAAGTCATCATTAAATTGCCCTAATGTGTCAAAAGGCATTAATAAATCAGGCGTTTTTCGAACACTATCAGTAGTTCAGATGAGATAATTGAATTTCAAAATTAGTTTTACAGCCCCTAAATCTTGTAATTGTTTGCATTTCGATGTCCCGCCGTCCACTTTTTACCAATCAGAAAGTCCGTGATCCAGGTTGCCAAAACTCACCGCGTTGAGCTAATCTCACTGGTATAGCAACATGTGGCCACAGAACAAAAAAAAGAACAAGGAATAAAACCAGGATTTCTATCTTTGTCAAAAAGGTGTTTGTTATGGAATTGTTGCAGACAAAACTCAGCTGGATTCGTCTGCATATCTGGCAACCTGAGTTAGGGAGAGTGCAGTACCACTTTTGGCCAGATTTTTACATTCTGCTTTTTTTAACACCAGGATCATAGAGAGCGCTAATCCACAGACTTTTTAAACTCACAATGATTAACATTAAGAGATCCTTTATTTGTCCTACACAATCAGTCAAGTCAGTGTTGAAAACTTTTGTATACTAAAGAAGCAAGAAAAAACCTCTAACTTTAGCATAATAAAGAAGCAAATCTAAAATCTTAAACTTTAGCATTGTAAAGAAGCAAGTATAAAATCTCTAACTTTAGCACATTATAGCATATTCTAGTGCAAGAAATATAGAGTTGTGTGTAAACATCTGTGCATGTTAGCAGTGTGAGTGTATGGGACAAACGGTTACTGAGCTTTACTTTTAACCATTTTTTTGGTATGTAAGTCAATGGGAGTCTTCCATTAACGGTTCCATTGTCCATTTGTATACAGTCTGGTTGCAAGAAACTCAGGGGCACAATATTTAGGCAAGTCCTGTCATATCGCCTATGAAAAAATACAAAAGATAAATGACTTACAGCCTCCCCGGCTTCTCCAGGTTCTCCCACCACACCCTAAAGAAGAACCGGGATGAGAGCAAATAGACACACATTACAGCCTACACACCATCATACTATAATTGTATTAGTATTAGATTTCACCTGAATTTGCATGATTTTCTAAGGGCCCTTATATGTATCTTGGGTCATTTAATATTACAGCAGATATTGAAAGGAAAGACCACTCACAGAAAGCTGCGGCTGAGGACAATGCATTATTAAATCCCATTTCTTCAGAACACAAAAGAGGGATGTGCTATATTTTCTGAGTTCAACAAAACAAAACTTGAACAGCTGAACTCATAACAAAGGAATTATATTAGAAATGTGATATAGTGAAGAATATTGTATTTATATCAGTATACAGTGGTCCCTCAGCACAATGTTGTTCACCTTCCGTGGCCTTGCTTTTTCGCAGATTTTTTTTGAGGTTTTTACAGCGTGTTTCTCATATGCCGTGTGTAAACTCTGACAGCACCATATAACTGCTAGTTTAACATGACGGTTAGCTTTGTCTCTCTGGTCTTTTTGTGATCCTGATCTCTGGTCTCGCTCTAGTCTCCCTCAGGTCTCTCTCTGGTCTCTCTCAGGTATAATATATACATAAAACATTCATTATTGGTTATATGTCACTTACTCGTTCCCCTTTTCCGCCGGGGGCTCCTCTGTCTCCTCTATCACCCTGAAACACACACAAACCAGAACAATCGCTGCATATTAACACTTATTAACAAACACAAACCATAGAACCAGGAGTATGATCACATTAGTCCTGGTCTCAGGTCTCTGTACTGACTTCTTGTGGCTCAGAGAAAATACTTTAAAGTTCATCTGTGACATGTTAGAGCCATATGAACCAACTCTGATTGAGGTGCACAGGGACTGACCTCCTGCTGGGACTCTGGAGAACACAGGGACTGGTCTCTTGCTGGGACTGCAAATCATTTGCATCTATAATCTGGAACAATGTCCCCCAGGCTGCTACCTTAGCTGTAATTAAGTCTAGGCTAAAAACAGTACTTTTTTTGTGTGGTTATGACTGATCATCATCAGACAGGGATCATCCGGTCTGTTATTGTTAAATTAACTTGCTTTTGAATGTGTTTTACAGTGTGCTTTAATGAACTGTTGTCAATGTTAAGAACTTTCGGTTGTTATGAAATACATATTGATTGATTTGATTGACTGTGTAGATATAGTATTCCATCCACATTTGCCAACTCACCTTTTCTCCAGGTGACCCTGCGTCTCCTCTTGGACCGGCCAGAGTCTGACCGGCCGGACCCTGAAACGCAGACATAATGTGAAGTCATGTCTCTGTAATCTGCTGCATTGGATTAGTGTGGAGGTAAATGGGCTTAAATAGCGCTTAATTGAAGCCGAGGAAAGAATGTTAATGCGGCTCTCAGTGACTCACCCGCTCTCCCTTGGGTCCCGCGGGTCCAGCGACAGCCTGAGAAAGACGTAACGTTACAATCTAGCATCGGAAGTCGATTGAATTTCTACACTTTGTAAAGCTAACGTTGACTCTCATTAACGCCTGACTTTAGCTGCAATCATCCACTTCTTTATGAATGAAAACAAAGATCAGCTTCGAAAGTGGATGAAGACAATGTGAACGCACGTTCAGTACACGTTCTTATGTACTTTATTTATCCCTGTAATGTAGAAGATAAAATGTCTCGTCCGCATTTGACCCATCCTGCAATGCCACTAGGGCTTGTGTCAGGTGCAGTGGTCACGGTAGGCCAGAGAGAGATGAGAGAGTGAGACCAAAGAGAGAGAGAGACCAGAGAGAGAGCCGAGTGAGACCAAAGAGAGAGAGACCAGAGAAAGTGACCAGAGAAAGTGACCAGAGAGACAAGAGAGACCATCTCCAGATGTTGATGCTCTTGGTCAGGACCGAAGCTGGAGGATTTTACCTATTGCACATGTTTATAGTGTTAAGGGAAACCAGACCATGCAGAGAAAACCTACAAAGACACGGGGAGAACATGCAAACTTCACTCAGAAAGGCCCTAAACCAGAACTTTCTAGGTGAGACACGAGAAGGCCTCCATGCCGCCTCTGAGGTATTCTGAGGTATTGTAGTAAGTAAGTTTAAAACAAATCTGAGAGTTTGAAAAATGCATTTGAAAAAAATTACTATAAAACATATTTCTGATTGAAATAGAGATTCAAAAGCAGAATTAGGGTTAGGGAGGCATCCATACAACGTCAAAACAATTATAGTTTTAGAACATGGAGTCAGCTCTGTAAATGCTCCCTCATCCACCTAATGCCCGGGTCTCAGGTGGATGAGGGATGGGGTTCCGTTCACATGAGACCCCCTTTTCCACACAGACGAGCGGGAAAAAGGGGGTATAGTGCATCAGTCCGTCACTCAGGCTGACCACGCCTACTCAGGAAGTGACATCAGCTGGTAAATGACCAGTCACCATGGCAGGGGACAGCTCTAAAAAAACAAAAACAAAAACAACAACAAAAAGGCAGGGGACAGCTCTCGAGCCTCAGTCCAGGATCTACAGCCTCAGTCTTGGATCTACAGCCTCAGTCCTGGATCTACAGCCTCAGTCCTGGATCTACAGCCTTAGTCCTGGATCTACAGCCTCAGTCCTGGATCTACAGCCTCAGTCTTGGATCTACAACCTCAGTCTTGGATCTACAGCCTCAGTCTTGGATCTACAGCCTCAGTCCTGGATCTACAGCCTCAGTCTTGGATCTACAGCCTCAGTCTTGGATCTACAGCCTCAGTCCTGGATCTACAGCCTCAGTCCTGGATCTACAGCCTCAGTCTTGGATCTACAACCTCAGTCTTGGATCTACAGCCTCAGTCTTGGATCTACAGCCTCAGTCCTGGATCTACAGCTTCAGTACTATATCTACAGCCTCAGTCCTGGATCTACAGCCTCAGTCCAGGATCTACAGCCTCAGTCTTGGATCTACAGCCTCAGTCCTGGATCTACAGCCTCAGTCCTGGATCTACAGCCTCAGTCCTGGATCTACAGCCTCAGTCTTGGATCTACAACCTCAGTCTTGGATCTACAGCCTCAGTCTTGGATCTACAGCCTCAGTCCTGGATCTACAGCCTCAGTCTTGGATCTACAGCCTCAGTCCTGGATCTACAGCTTCAGTACTACAGCCTCAGTCCTGGATCTACAGCCTCAGTCCTGGATCTACAGCCTCAGTCCTGGATCTACAGCCTCAGATCTGGATCGACAGCCTCAGATCTGGATTGACAGCCAGTCCGTTCGTGGGAGCGGATCCCTCTCAATGTGAGCATCCTTGACGTTTCTCACTTTTTCCCACCTGAACTCTTTGTGATTTCTTTTTTTGAGCTCGTCTTTCCTTGATATTTACATATTTCTCTCACGGCTCATGATTAGCAGCCTGCTCATGCGTGGCCCTTGTCTTTCACAATATTCCACATGTAATCAGCCAAGTCCACACTCACTGCTCCACAAGGACAGAACCCTGCACTGCTCTCTGGTCAGATTATTATGAGCTGCAACTTCAATTCAATTACAATTGGATATAGTCCTGTGTATATAGCAATGAATTACAACAGCTGTCGTCTCGGAGAACAAAATTGTTGATTGGCCAACAACAGATCAGAGAATCAAAGAGTTCAGAAACAGGAAATGCAATAATAACAAACACAAAGCAATCGGTTCATTGGGAGTGCGATGACCACTGTCCAGAAATGTTAATAAATGTCCTTAGACCAACCACTCTTTTAATTGTAAAAAAACAACAGTGGAGTCAGAACCAGAGCACTAACCAAGGGAGACCGTAATGTACAAAGGGCGCAGATGGTGGCGTCTATCAGAGGCACAACTTTATGGAATAACTTGCCAGAACACATACGTAACTGTGGGACCTAACTAACATTTAAAGGAGTCCTGAAACATTGCTTGAAATCAAACCAGTCAAACTCTCAGATGATCTGCTTTTCCTTGGACTTTCTCTTCTCTTTTACATCCGTTACGTTATGCTTGTCAATTTATTGTTTGTACTCTTACCTAAACGTGTGTTTGTATGTTTATACCAGTGGGGGCGGGTCCCGGCTAAAAAGTGGCCAAAATGACGTGCGCGCAATACCACCCCGGGCCAATGGGGGTGGACCCGGAATGACATGTAGCATTAGGTGACCTCTCGAAAACGTCTTTACAGGATGGTCCAAAAGTTGGCTCTTGGCCCAAAGCTCCGTTCCACATGTGTGTCAATGCTGAGGGGAGTGAATTTTTTTGGACGAGGCTAGTTTAGTCGCTGCGAATTTTTGAAGTCTCTCGTTTAAATGAATGGGGCTCGTGCTGGCTGATGCATGCGCAGATGCGATTTTTCCCATTTTCCAGCCCCCGCGGCCGTTTTGAAACTGCCCATAGACCGCGGAAGTTGTGGCACATTAGTTAGAACGGCGGAAATAGGCGTGACTACGTCTGTTAATATTAACAGTCTATGGTTTATACCTATACCTTCGGACAATGGATGCGATTTAGCTATTGTGCTAATTCCAGCCTATTTATATTGACGCTGTTTACAGACACCATGATTAATATGTACTGTCCTAAATTCAAATAAATAAATAAATAAATAAATGTAACCAAATTATAATTTCAATACAGAGTTACATATTTTGCTTAAGAACATTTGGAAGGAATGATGATAGAAAGTCTGGAACAAAAAGTTGTAAGTAAAGGCAAAAAAAAAAAGTGCTTTTATCACAGGGTTTGAAACCAGCAGTGCACAGACCGCACGCAGAACGGTTGGCTGAGCAAAAATAACACACTATATTCTTTCCACAAAAGTTCTCCTGGGCCTCTGGAGCTTCATAAACTGCGATAAACACTTGAGGGATTAAATAACCGCTTAATCCCTGCTCCACATTTACAGGAAAACACTGGAGGATGTTTCCATAATCAGCGACTCCACTTTGGTTTAGCTCATGTTCAATTCAGACTTAACTCTGTTCAAACACAAACAGGTCCTGACTCCTACTGACCGTTTGAGACCATAGACTGTGTACTAGGAGTGGACTGACTGAGTGTGACATCACAATAGTGTTAATGCAGAAGAGGACGATTGAACATAAACTAACTGGAGCCAATTTTCCTTATATGTGAGGATTACAGCTGCAGAGGCAGGAGCAGGACTGTAGGCAACAGGAGGATCAGAGAGAGAGACCAGAGAGGGAGAACAGACATAGAGATCAGAGAGAGTCACCAGTGAGAGGGAGAGACCAGAGAGCGAGTCCAGAGAGAGGGAGACCAGAGAGAGGGAGACCAGAGAGGGAGAGACCAGAGAGAGACCAGAGAGAGAGAGAGAGAGACCATAGAGAGAGGGAGACCAGAGAGGGAGAGACCAGAGAGAGACCAGAGAGAGACCAGAGGGAGAGACCAGAAAGAGACAAGAGAGAGACCAGAGAGGGAGAGACCAGAGAGAGAGACCAGAGAGGGAGAGACCAGAGAGAGAGACCAGAGAGGGACCAGAGAGAGAAAAGAGAGAGACCAGAGGGAGACCAGGGGGAGGCCAGAGGGAGACCAGAGAGAGACAAGAGAGACCAAAAATAGAGACCAGAGAGAGACCAGACATAGACCAGAGGGAGAGAGAGAGACCAGAGAGAGACAAAAGAGGAAGACCATCGAGAAAGAGACCAGAGAGACAGAGAGAGAGAGAGAAACCAGAGAGGGAGACCAGGGAAAATAAGACCAGAGAAAGAGAGACGAGAGAAAGACCAAAGAGGGAGAGAGAGAGACCAGAGAGAGACACCAGAAACAGAGATAGACCAGATGGATTACACTCTGTTGACAAATAAAACCACAAACATGCAATCATTTATACACAGCTATTCCTCCATTGGTTAACACTACTTCAGGTATATTACATTTCTTTCCATCTCAATCTATTTCTCTCCTTACCATCCCCATCCACTCCCTGCTGAATATTTACCATAAGTGTTGCCAAACCATACCAGAAATCCCTACGACAAACACACAGCCTCAGGTTCCAGTTGCAGCATCTAACCACAATATCTATGGACAAAGAAGAGCCCGCGGTCCGTCTGAACGACCAGGACCCTGCGGGACTCTCCACAGAAGCCGCTCCTTTAGCGCGTTATGGATTTATGAAAGCAGCTCAGCCTCTGGGCCCCGGCAAAAAACAGCAACACAATCCAACAGGCGCTGGTGAGGGAGGGATTTCTGTGTTTGGCTGCGCGACGGTTTGCTAATGAGACCTGACAGCAGTATCATTACAGTCTCCGCGCTGTACACATGTCTGCATGGCGTTGATAATTGGAACATGGTTATTACATAAAAGCTCTGCAAACATCCAACATGTTTAAGAGAAAAATCAAAGCAATAACCATGAAGTCATATGGAAAAATGACTTAAATATGAAGAAAAAAAATACATTCATAAAAAAGGTAATAATATTTTATTTTATTTTAATTTGCACATGATTATGAAAGGGGCAGGCCACATCAGATTATTTGGTAAGACTTTATTAGCCCTCACTAATGTGCAGCTAATGAAGTGCTAATTAGAGTACCCTAAATCTAGCCCGTACCCACATGGGAAAGTGTCAGTTAGTAGTTAGTTAATGTTGAATAAGGCCATGTAGCATAAGAACTTAATAAATACCAATCAGCTAACAATTATCAAAGAGCAAATGAAGCATACATTATACACTAATTAAAACGTAATTAGCTGTTCATCAGTGAGGGCTAATATAAAGTGTAATTGGTTATTTTTCTTTCTTTTGCTCATTTTCCTTTATTTGTCAGGAGCACAGTTATTTGAAATGTTATTGTAATATCTGGTGTTACAATGTCCACAATTGTTATGTCCACAATTGAAATTAATAAATAAATTACACACACCGTCACACTCACTGTCTGCCATGGTCCTTGCGGCCTAAATATTTAGTTGTGTTAATTTTTTTACCAGAGATTGTTTTCATCATGAATCAAAACACTCAGGGTTAGTAGCGACGTAAAGTCATGTATTGTCAAATAAACCATCCATCCATCCATTTTCTTCCCCTTAATCCATTTCTGGGTCGGGGGGGTGGCAGTCAAAGCTGCACCCAGTACACATAGCACCAGCCCCTCACTGATCCTCCTGCAGGTGGTGAGTCCACAGGAGCTGAGATCTTTCTGTTGGGGCTTTGGGCAAAGTAGGGTTAAGTGTCTTGCCCAAGGACACAACGACAGCAGTCATCAGTGGGAGATAAACCACTGATGAAACATGTTCTATAATTTTATATTGTAACTTCGTTGAGCCAATCTGTGGAGGTCCCAAAAGCCCTGTTTCCACAATCCCTACTTGGCCCCACTCTACCCTGTTCTACTCTTCCTGGTTGTGTTTCCATTTCACTTAAGTATCTGGTAATATATTCCAGCCACTGCAGCTCTCTGGCTAATCTCTGTCAGCAGAGAAAAATCAGTCAACAATTTAAACAGACAAAAAAAAAGATCTTACAATTAGAAATGTCTTATTGAGATAAGACTCAGTGACGAGAGAAAGACCAGAGAGAGACCAGAGAGAGACCAGAGAGAGACCAGAGAGAGACCAGAGAGAGACCAGAGAGAGACTAGAGAGAGACTAGAGAGAGACAAGAGAGAGATCAGAGAGGGATCAGCGAGACCAGAGAGAGACCAGCGAGAGACCAGAGAGAGACCAGAAAGAGATCAGAGAGAGACCCTAGAAAGATCAGAGAAAGACCAGAGAGAGATCAGAGAGAAACCAGCGAGAGACCAGAGAGAGACCACCGAGAGACCAGAGAGAGATCAGAGAGAGCCCAGGGAGAGATCCGAGAGAGACCAGAGAGAGACCAGAGAGAGCCCAGAGAGAGATCCGAGAGAGACCAGAGAGAGCCCAGAGAGAGATCCGAGAGAGACCAGAGAGGGATCAGAGAGAGATCAGAGAGAGACCAGAGAGACCAGAGAGAGACCAGAGAGAGACCAGAGAGAGACCAGAGAGAGACCAGAGAGAGCCCAGAGAGAGATCCGAGAGAGACCAGAGAGAGACCAGAGAGACCAGAGAGAGACCAGAGAGAGACCAGAGAGAGATCAGAGAGAGACCAGAGAGAGACCAGAGAGAGACCAGAGAGAGACCAGAGAGAGACCAGAGAGAGACCAGAGTGAGACCAGAGAGAGACCAGAGAGAGACCAGAGAGAGACCAGAGAGAGATCAGAGAGAGACCAGAGAGAGACCAGAGAGAGACCAGAGAGAGACCAGAGAGAGACCAGAGAGAGACCAGAGTGAGACCAGAGAGAGACCAGAGAGAGCCCAGAGAGCCTCACTGACAAAAGGAGAATAAAAGTTATGTTTCAAGGCAGCTTGATTACCCACAGTTTGTGTTATTCATCGTATTCACAGGAGTGAGGCTACAACAATAAAATAAACAATCTACGTTTCAATCTACCTCAGGGGTCTCCAACCAGTAGCCCGGGAGCTACCAGTAGCTCGCCAGGTCCTTTCAGGTAGAAGTCATTACATATATTTTTTGAGTATAATTGTGAAGTTATACAGTATTATGGTATATTTTCACATCTGTGTTCTTCATGTTTTGTTGTTGTTATTATACAGATGTTTATTACAACTACAAAAGGGACAAGCTTTCTGCCTCTTATGTTGTATAAAAGTAGCTCTCAGATTGAGAAAGGTTGGAGACTCCAGATCTACAGTAGCTATCCATCTACAGTATCTATCTATCTTCTGTATCTATCTATCTCCTAGCCACCAACAGCTGTGACAAACTTTTGTCCAGAGAAAAGCATGTCAATGTCACATCAGTGATTTCCTGCACAGTGTTCCAGACCTTACCTTTCCTGGGGGACCGCTGTCTCCCTGCTCTCCCTTCAGACCTGCCAGCCCTGGAGGTCCTGGGATGCCCTGAGGATCACACACACACTTACAGTAGACAAAACAACAAATATTCTCTCTATTTTTTTTTTTAATGCAATGCACCTGTTTTCCAGGAAGCCCTGGGATCCCTTCTTTACCCGGGACGCCGTCTCGACCTGGCACCCCTGGTTTACCGGCTTCACCCTGAGACACGACATCACAGACACAATAAAACAAAGATACTAGAGCCAAACTCCATGTATTGCTTCTGCAATCCCATCATGCAATATCTGGGACCTCTCTTGTGTGGATGTGTTTCTGCAGCTGGACCCCTGAATTTCACCTACGTGGACCTATCTATCTAAAGCTCAGAACATTTTGAATCCATTTCGTCAACTTTATTTGTATATACTGACATTAGAGTCACGAAATCCCATGTAAGGCACTAAAGTAGATGTGGTGTTGATCTAAGTAGACACTTCAGATTCAAATTAATTTTTATTCTCCATTTTCAGTAAAGTTTGGACACCCCTGGTATAAAAACAAAACTGAATTATTCACTAAAGAACATGTCTGCAGCTCATTCACAAGCACTGAATATGGGTTTGTTTCCAGACCACAGCATTTGCTCTGAGGAAGAAACAGTGTTTGAAATGGAAATGACATGTATTCACTCTCATGTATTCACTCTCACTGACCTGACGAGCTTCGACCCGTTCCTCTCCAGCCTCATCGTTTCCACATAATGAGGCGATAAAACTACCACTTAAATCTCTAAACACATTTTCCCGCTGCTTAATTACTTTATTTCAAAAATGGCAATGGTCCAAATCATTTTCTTTTCCAGTTTCAGGTTTGTTTAGTGTGCTGTACTCACCACCTGCCCAGACAGTCCCGGCGGCCCCTGTGGACCCTACAGAGGCAGAGACAAAGAGAGAACCACGGAGGGAATGAGATTTGTAATGAATTTCATGAGGAGAAATGTTGTGCGTGGACAGAAGCCGTGATTTATGGGGACATTTACCACAGCTCCAGGAGGTCCGGCAGGTCCCGGCAGACCCGTGCTCCCCTGGGCGCCGGGGGGCCCCTGCACAAAAGAGGAATGAACCAGTGACATGGGGTCTATTAGCTGTCTGTACATCAGCTTTCAGCACCACAGCAATAACAATAGTGTGAAGCAGAGAAGTGACAGCAGCCTCTGTCTGGAAAGACAATACATCTCTTATAGCAGCAGCTAACTATGGGGTATAAACTAATCACAGCGGTACAGAGACCAGAGAGACAGACAAGACCAGAAAGAGACCAGAGAGAGAGACCAGAGAAAGACCTGAGAGAAATCAGAACTAATCACAGCGGTACAGAGACCAGAGAGACAGAAAAGACCAGAAAGAGACCAGAGAAAGGCCAGAGAGAGACCAGAGAGAGACCAGAGAAAGACCAGAGAGAAACAGAACTAATCACTGCAGTGCAGAACCTGGAGACAGACCAGTGAGAGACCAGAGAGAGAGAGGGACCAGTGAGAGACCAGAGAGAGACCAGAGAGAGCTCTGAACTAATCACTGCAGTGCAGAGAGCAGAGAGACTAGACAAAGACCAGAGGTAGACTCTGAACTGATCACTGTGATGCACACAAGCCAAAAGTTTTCTTCTGACTGAATCAGAAGAAATGATGAGAGATCAGCCATTTGAAGACTATTTTGCTTCATTGTTTCATTGTATTTGAGCTAGTGTCAATTAGCTTGTAGGTCGCAGAAGTAGCAACATCAACAGTAGTAGTAGCAGCAGCTATAGAAGTAGTAGATGTAACAACAACAAATGCAGTAGTAGTAAAAGTAGTATCAGTCGCAGTAGTAGTACCAGCAGCAGTACAAGGCATAAAGCCTTTTAAATAGATAATTACTATACCTTGACGCCCACACCCGGCTCTCCCTGAGTCCCCTGAAAAACAAACGTTGACATTAATCACTTCATTTAATTCAATTAAAGTAGAATCACTGCATTATCGTACCCATCAGAGCACTCACCTTCACACCTGGCGCTCCAGGAGGACCGTTGGGACCCATAGGACCCTAGTATAAACACACGCCATAAAAGTGATAATGAGCAGCGCCATAACAACATGATTCAGAGTTCAGAGACTTACGGTCGGGCCCCTGATGCCTGTTTCTCCGGGGTTTCCCTACAGAGAGAGAGAGACAAAGACAAATTATATGTTACAATACGTACAATACCATATGGAACAAAACAGCATTGGCCTTGTGCTGAAAGGTGACTCAAAGGTTCCTCAAGTCATAATTTGATGGTGTATTTAGCCCTACTTGGTTCTACTCTATACTCTAATGTACTATACTGTACTTTACTCTACTCAGACCTCCTGTTCAATCAGCACCAGATCCTTCTTTAGTCTCCCTTGGCCAGGCCGGGCTAGTACTAAAGAGTAGAGTAGGTTATAGTAGACCAGAGAAGACTAGACTAAAGTAGAGTACAGTAGGATAGAGTAGAGTACATTACAGTAGAGTAGGAATGGGTAGAGCCAGTGGAAATGGGGCTATATAAAGTTTGTAAAGTATAAAAAAGTATAAACTACCTACTGATGTCTAGTCTATGAAGCTTAGTTTGAAACAGGTCGATAATAATACATTCTCGCAGCTTCTCAGAGCAAGGCCAATCCCACACGTTCAGATACCACAGACAGCACATGTAAATAAATGCGCAGAATGCCAGTTTTAAGCTGCAGAATCAATGAGCGAGCGTAAACATGGCAGGAGGCAGCTGCATGCATGCTAACACGCTATCGCTAAACCCAATTTAATATTCCCCAACTGTTTTACACTGAAATCCACCCGCAGACACAGCCCTCACGCCAGTCGACTCCACTTTCATCTCTCTGCCTCTAAGAAAATCTGAGCCTTTTCCTTTATTTATTTTTTTGTTTCTATGTGATAACACGTTTCCAATGATCATTTTGCTTTTCTGGTCTCAGTTCTGCCACTTACAGATCTCATTACCTGCCTGTAATGTTTCAAAGTCTGGTATTAACACTAGGATTCCCAGAAATCGGAAACTACTACAGGATTCATTTTGACGGCTTCCATTCACATCAATGGAATTCTGAAAAAAATCCCCCAAAAAAGTTGCTTTTCCAGCTGTAATAACTAAGATTTTTTGTTAAAACTTGTTCACACTAGAAATCCAAAGAAGTCATTTTGACAGATTTTAGTGTTGGTCTTCACAACTTTGTGACTTTTACTGTTTCTATTTGTACAATCCATATATGGTTCATATCAGGATTTACAAAGACAGTATCACATTATAAACACCAGGATCACAGACAGTGCTAAACCTTATATGTCTAAAGTGACTTAAACATTTAATAGGATCTAAAGGCGGCACGGTGGCTGAGTGGATAGCACTCTCGCCTCTCAGCAAGGAGGTCCTGGGTTCGAATCCCGGTTGGACCAGGGCCTTTCTGAGTGGAGTTTGCATGTTCTCCCCGTGTCTGCGTAGGTGTCCCCTACCACTAAAAATATGTACAATAGGTCTGGCATGTGCCTCCTGTACTGGCACCCCCACTCCAAAAAAATAACAATTGTAAACCGCTTTGAGACTCCGATGTGCAGTGAAAAGGCGGTATATAAATAAAGATTACTTACTACTTACTTACCTAAAGAGAGTTGGGGAAAAACTTCCATGTGCGCTTCATTGAGCTAGCATTATCCATTTATATACAGTCAGTGGTTCTTCTACACGTGAGGTATGGAAATAAACCAGATTTGAAAAATAACTATCTATTGTACATGTGTTCAGTGGTAGCAGAAACTGGAGCATCTTGTATCTTCACTCTGTTTAATATTCTCTGATTATTTATGATTTGAATGCATTTGCTAAGCACTTTGAGTTGCCTTGCGTATGAACTGTGCTTTACAAATAACCTTGCCGATGACGGGTGCTCTATGTATTTTGTAAGTAAGTATTCTTTATTCTTTTATCTTCTTTTACAATTGTTGAAGGATTATTTCCTCTCATTCGTCACAGTGATGGGCCCGGTGCCACCATACAGGAGGCATATGTCGGATCTATTGTATTTGTTTTCAGTGGAAGGGGAATCCTGCTCAGGACAAAACACAAAACCAGGGAGAAAATCTGCCCAGACATCACATGAGTGCGCTCGTTTCTCCCAATATGTTTCAAATGCTGTTGTAAAAAGTACAGTCAGGTTTTGGAGGGAAGTCACAGAGACAGCTCATCATCTGGATTGTTGCTTTGGAACGCTCCGGTCTTTAATCTTCTTCATTGTATTGGGTACATCCTCGCTGGCTCCTCGGATAGATGCCAGATTATCTCCCCCTCATGAAATATTAATGCAGACCACCTGTCCCCCGAGCGGCAAAGTCAAGAGCCAAGATTCTCAAAATTGTGGAGAAGGTGGAAGCAGCCAAAATATTAGTTCAGTGTAGTTGTCTGTCAGTGTGAGTGGATATGGGTCTCCGCAAGAGTTCTCCCTTTTATCCCACTTATTTTGTTTTTTGTTGAGAGATTCCTTGCTGATGCAGAATGGTCTGGGACAGTGGACAGTGATGACCCGGGAAATGTTATCAATATTTCTGGACAGTGGTCATCCCGCTCCCTCAGGACCAATGGCTGTTTATTATTATTGCATTTCCTGTGTTCAAACTGTTTGAGTCTCTGATCTGTAAATGTAAAAAACATTTACAAATTTGTTAAGTCCTTCGAGATGGCTGCTGATGTGATTGACCCTCTCACTCACCAACATTGAGGTCACAAATAGGCCTTGTTTTGGACACCCCTGGTCTACAGTCTGTTTAAATAATACAATATTTGGCAGACCCTTGACCAGAAAAGTCAGGCTGATTTTACACTGTTCCCAAAGCTCATGCGATGATCCAGACCCCAGCCAACCTACCGGTCTGCCCAGCACTCCAGGGAACCCAGGCAGGCCCTAGGGAGGAGAGGAGGAGGACAGGGAGGGGACAGAGGGGCCATGACAGACGACATAAAAAAGGAAATGGACACAAGAGCAGAGTTAGCAGCAGTTTGTGATGTGTGAAGCGCTGGTTGCAGAGGACAGACTTCCACAGGCTGAAGAAGGGACTCACTGATTGGCCTGGAGGACCCTGAGGCCCTTTGAGGCCCTGCTCCAAACACACAGAGACAAAACACACACAAAACAGTTTATTTTTAGGTCCTTATTCCAGTGGTGGACGGAATGCTCACGTTCCGCTCGACCTACTGTACATAAAAAATAACTTCATGAGGTAAAAGAAAAAAAAACATGAGGAAGCGTTACCTGTAGAAACATTTTAACTACCGTAATTTCTGGACTATAAGTCGCTACTTTTTTTTGTTATTTGAACCCTGCAGCTTTTATAGTGATGCAGTTTATGGACTCTGAATGGATTATTGTGACTCCATTAGGTTACAGTAACTTGTTTATTGTCATCACCAATGAGAGAGAGACCAAACAGAGACTAGAGAGAGAGGCCAGGGGGATAGACCAGTGAGAGAGACCAGATAGAGCGAGACCAGAGGGAAAGACCAGTGAGAGAGACCAGATAGAGCGAGACCAGAGGGAAAGACCAGTGAGAGAGACCAGATAGAGCGAGACCAGAGGGAAAGACCAGTGAGAGAGACCAGATAGAGCGAGACCAGAGGGAAAGACCAGTGAGAGAGACCAGATAGAGCGAGACCAGAGGGAAAGACCAGTGAGAGAGACCAGATAGAGCGAGACCAGAGGGAAAGACCAGTGAGAGAGACCAGATAGAGCGAGACCAGAGGGAAAGACCAGTGAGAGAGACCAGATAGAGCGAGACCAGAGGGAAAGACCAGTGAGAGAGACCAGATAGAGCGAGACCAGAGGGAAAGACCAGTGAGAGAGACCAGATAGAGCGAGACCAGAGGGAAAGACCAGTGAGAGAGAAACCGGAAAGACCAGGCAGAGAAACTAGAGTGAGACCAGTGAGAGAGAGATACTGGCACTATGCAGAAGAAAACAGGCGTTTATGAACTCTTCTAATCTGTTGTTCAATTTAATGAAAGTAGTAATGGGGCACACGTTTGTAATACAAAGTGATCTTAAAGGTCCACTATGGTTTTTTATATATTTTTTTGCGTCTTTGACATTTCCTGTGTTCGAACTGTTTGATTCTCTGATCTGTTGTTAGCGAATCCACAATTTTGTAAAGTCCTCCGAGACTCCTGCTGTTGTGATTTAGCGCTGTACAAAAGCAAATTGAATTGAATTAAATACGGTGGAATCAGTCAAAACATGTATTTGTTTTGACAGATTCCATCGTAGTCAAGATTTACTGTGAAACTAACGCAAAATCAAATGATCACAAAGTTCACAACAAATGTATTTAGAAGAAACGTGATCAAGTCAAATGGAAAATAAAGAAATCTAAAGTTGCACTCACCGGTTTCCCTTCCTGGCCCGGTTTACCTGGATCTCCTGGGATTCCCTAAAACAAACCAAATTCCTCATGTTCTCATCATTCAATTAAACTTTTAAAACATCCTGTAAACACATGTATACCTGGTGTACCAAACACTCAAACAACAAACTAACCCGGTGTGAGAAAAACGTAAACACAACATTCTGAATAATCACCTCAACAACTAATTATAGGATGAAAACATACATACTGATAAACTGATTCTTAAATAACTGTTAATTAGTGAGGGCTAATCTAAAGTTACCACGTTCTCTTATGTTTTCCACATTAGATTCACCTGTGCTCCGTCACGTCCTCGCTCTCCCGCTTCTCCTCGGTCGCCTTTGTTTCCTGGAGTTCCGGCAAAACCCTGGAACACAGAAGGTCACAGCTGAACACACATGTCACAGATATGTTATCATGAGTGCGTGCGCTTTACCTGGTCCCCTTTGGGTCCTGGCAGTCCCACTGACCCCGCCTCTCCCTTCAGTCCCACCGCACCTGGAGGACCTCTCAAACCTGGGGCCCCGGCCACAACAGCCTCAGCAGAAGCCCCCTGTAAAATACACAAGCAAAGACTTCAGTGTGTGTGTGTGTGTATGTAAGTGTGTGTCTGTCACTCTGTGCGCTAGTATCTGTGTGTAGGCGTGTATGCAAGTGTGTGTGCGCGTGTGTGTGTGTGAGTTTGTTAGTTAGCATGCATGTGTATATATGTAAATGTGTTGCTAATGTACATTTACCATTAGAGCGGTTATCACATGTGAACACATTCAACACACCCAGACACACACACATACACATAGAACAGACAAATACATATGCACACACATACATACACACACAGACACACACACACACACACAAAGACTCACACATACAGTAAATACACGCATACACAATAAGCTTAATATTGCTTAAATAAATAACGTGTTTGCAGGTTAGAACAGCTCTAATAGTAAAAGTGCATTAGCCACAGGTGTAACCAAGACATGACACAAAAGATATGTGTTTTAGTCTTTTAGAGCTTTGTGTGAGGTCATTAACAGACAAAATGCTCTTTTATTCAAAGCAGACAGACGTGAGTGTGTGTATGTCCGGAGCTTTTCACTATGGATTCTGTGTAATTACTGCAGAGGAGCGGCTCACCTTTTGACCAGGAGGGCCAGCTGGTCCAGTTAACCCACCTTTTCCCTGTTTAAAACAAGAAATGTTCAATCCACGGCTGAATTTATGGATCTGGTTCATGAGGCACTTACCGCTTCACCTCGCTCCCCTTTGTCGCCTTTGTCGCCCTGTAGAGCAAACATGCAACCGGGGTAAGGAAAAAGCACAACACAAACATTCTGAATAATTACCTGGACAACTAATTATAGGATGTAAACATGAAACAGCAAAATTACTAATTAACTTACACTACCTGACTATTTCCTCTAAAAGCACTCTCTCTGGTCACACTCTGGTCTCTCTCTCTGGTCTGTCTCTCTCTTGTCTGTCTCGTTGGTCTCTCTCTCTCTAGTCTCTGTCTCTATCTGGTCTCTCTTTGGTTCGTCTATGGTTCTCTCTTTCTAGTCTATCTCTAATCTTCCTACCACCAAAGGCAAGTCATCTTCAGGGCGGAATCCCAGGTGTGTGAGCGTAAAGCAGCCCCCTTGTCCAGGTTTATAGTCCTGGGGTGTGTTTCCATGTTTGTATTTCCTCAATGATCCAGCTACAGTGATTGCCCTCAGCCCCTATAAATATGTCCTGAAGAAATCTAACTAAAAATGGCACTCACGTCCCTTCTTTTCTGGTAGGGAGACTAAAGATAGACCAGAGAGAGACTAGGGAGACTCAAGAGAGAATAGAGAGACGAGGGAGTGCTTAAGGTGACTAGAGAGACCAGAAAGAGACCAGATAAAGACCAGCTAGTGACCACAGAGAGAGACCGGAGGGACAGACAGCAGTTCAAACTGTCATCTCCACGAGTCCATCTCCAGCATGAGTGTGTCTGGGCATTAACAAACAGTAAGATTGATCAAACTTTGTTGATCCTGAAGGAAACTGTCTAAGGTAATTTAATAAATATAACTTTGACCTTTTCCCCCGGTCTCCCAGCTTCCCCCAGCTCTCCGGCCCGTCCTGGGACTCCAGGGATACCGGGTTTTCCTGGTTCCCCGGCGGGTCCTGTTGGTCCTTCAGGTCCACGCTCCCCAATGGCTCTGCCTGTGGCTCCTGTGGCTCCAGCCGGTCCTCGCTCCCCCTGCTCCCCTTTAGCGCCTCTGTCCCCAGGGGTGCCGCGAGCGCCCTGAGCCAAATCACAGAGTCATACTGAGTCATAAACACAGAGTCACACACAGAGTCATACACACAGAGTCACACACACAGAGTCATACACACAGAGTCATACACACAGAGTCATACACACAGAGTCATACACACAGAGTCATACACACAGAGTCACACACACAGAGTCATACACACAGAGTCATACACACAGAGTCATACACACAGAGTCACACACACAGAGTCATACACACAGAGTCACACACACAGAGTCACACACACACAGAGTCACACACACAGAGTCACACACACAGAGTCACACACACACAGAGTCACACACACAGAGTCACACACACACAGAGAGTCATACACACAGAGTCTTACACAGAGTCATAGACACAGAGTCATACACACAGAGTCACAAACACAGAGTCTTACACACAGAGTCACACACACACACAGAGTCATAGACACAGAGTCATACACACAGAATCACACACACAGAGTCATACACACAGAGTCATACATACAGGGTCATACACACAGTCCAACCCCAACTCTGCATCCTGGCTTTGCATTCTGGGCAAAGAAGATACTTATTACGTGTCATCTTTATGTATTTTACTGTTGTTAAAGCTGAGGTACCTAACTTTTTTGAAACATATGTTTGTGCCAAAAGAGTAAAATCAGACATATCCACACACATATTTGGTATAAAACCCCAAAAAAAAGCAAAAAACCATAATATTATCTTTTTTGTAGAAAACATTTGAGTGAAGGTGGTCCTCTCTTATTCAATTTTCTGTCTGAAAAAGCCGATTTAAAGCTGTGACAGAAGCCAAAATATACATGCATTTGAAAAGTAGTGATAGAAGTGTTTTGAGGAAACGACTTGTGGATTTGAACACTCATATTATTTGTGGTTTGAAACTGGGTTGAGTAAACATATCTGTTCTCTGTAGAGCTAAAAACATCAGTAAATGTTTAGGCACTAGGGTACCTAAACATTTGGAACAGACTTTAACTGCTTACGTCTTCCCCGGCCGGCCCCCTCACTCCTGGCTCTCCTCTGTCTCCTTTCTCCCCTCGTTGAGGCTTCACTTCAGGGGGGCGAGAGGTTTGGAGATCCACCACCACCTTCAGATCCGACACCTAATAATAATAATCAAAAACATTTACTTTGTGATGCACTTGTAAAAGAGGCAGTATGTTATCTGCTCTTATTCTGAAAAATAAGTGTATATTTTGTAAAAACTAAAACTAAAATCAGGTCCATGTCCGCTGACAGGCTGGTGACCCTAAATGTGCTTTTTGATTGAATGATCTTTAAAAAAAAATCAGAATAAATATTATGCATTATTTTTTACCTTTTTTTTTTATTATTATTATAGTTATTCAGGTCGCTTGTCTTCCTAGGACCCACCTCAGTTATAATGAGAATATTTCCGCTATGTTTTGAATGTGTAAAAACACAGATTTTTATAAGCCAAAAAGGTGGGTGTGACACTAAAGGAGCCTGAGTAAGAGGAGTTTACTTCTCAATATCAGTCAATAGGAGTGAGTTGGAGCCAAACTTCATTGATGAGCACCTCCCTATTGGGCTTCACTGAGCTAGCGGTTTAGCATTGTCCAGTCTGTGGAGGTTACACATAATATTTTGCAAATACTCCCTCATTGGTATTAGCATTAATCACTGACATTTATGTTTGACATTAGACTAATCAGACAGTAATTACAAAAGCCAACATATTTCCATTTACGCTGGTCTAATGGACTGAGCATTTGGCATTTCCCCATAATGGAGCTAAATACAATGAAAAAAAGAGGTTTTAAGTCTCATTTTATGTATCGACCTTGGGAAACATGTTCTGTCCCCAACAATATCCAAAGCCTCAGTAAAGCCTCAGTCTGTGGGTCTCACCATGGGATCTTTTTTCCCCTGCAGGAGGGTCTATGCACAGTTGTGGCTACGCATTCAACTGATTCTATTTTGTACCATTACACTTTTTTGCTCTGTTTTACTCTTCCTTCCGCCTCCGTCAAGCACAGACGTGTCTCAGACCGCTCCTGCTTCTGACCGCTTGCTCTATCTTGTTTGTGTCTTTTTCCTGGAGTTTTGCCACAGACAACTCCCTCCCTCCCTCTCACTCCTTATTGTCTTTCCCCTCCCTGACCTCCCCCTCCCTGACCCCGTCCCCTCTGACAGCCACATTGGAGGTTTTTATCCCAAGAAAAAGTTATGTTTTACACAAAGCACACTGTGTCTATCCAATTGTCTGTGAAACTGTGTTATTGCTCTCTGCTGTTTCTTGCTTGCACACAGCGCCGCAAATGGCGAGTGACTTCAAAAATTCACAGCGAGTAAACTAGAGTGGTCCAAAAAAATTCACCCCCTCAGCATTGACACACATGTGGAACGGAGCTTTGGGCCAAGAGCCAACTTTTGGACCATCCTGTAAAGGTGTTTTTGAGAGGTCTGCCAATGCTATATGTTAGCATTGAATAATTCTTATTCTGGGTCCACCCCCATCGGCCCGGGGTGGTATTGGAGCATGTCAGCGCACGTCATTTTGGCCACTTTTGATCTGGGACATTTCTGGACAGTGGTTATCCCTCTCCCTATGAACTGTGTTCGGACTGTTTGATTCCCTAAACCCGTTGTTGGCGAACTGTGTAAAGTCCTCTGAGCGACTCCTGTTCTGATTTAGGGCAGAACACAAACACGTTGAATTGAAGTCATACATACGTTAGTTAAATTACAGAAGTAAATTGACTTTCGAACAATATTCTTACTTTCACCTGTGTGTTTCTTCCTTTAGCATCTGTTACTTACCCGAATCCCGAGACCTGCCAGAGCTTTCTGTACGTCCTGTAGGAACAAACATCAAAGTGCAGATATGAATACATGAATATGCAGATGAGATGGTTGTGGTGACGTCATACCACTGCAGAGCCTGGTTTTCCCGGCGCTCCGTCTTCTCCCGGGTCGCCCTGTCCATCATAAACATGCCAGTCTGTCAGCTTTGCAGTCAGAACACACACAGACGTATGGAAATGTGCAGGAAACCACTTACAGCTTCACCTTTCGCTCCGATGGGTCCTCGCTCCCCCTGCCAGAAACAAGCTCATTAAAATACAGACATTTCTGGTGTTTTAATACATGTAAAGTTATTTGCTTCTTCTACCGGACGATTGTAAGATAGCCATGTTATCACCTTGACATGTTTCGACTGTATACTGTACTTCTGTCTTAAAACTGATTCTATTTTGTACTATTTTATACTATAGAGAGATCACAGCGAGGCCGGAGAGGGACCAAAGAAAGACCAAAGAGAGAGACCAGAGAGAGAAACCAGAGAGAGAAACCAGAGAGAGAAACCAGAGCGAGAAACCAGAGAGAGAGAACAGAGAGAGACCAGAGAGAGAGACCAGAGAGAGAGACCAGAGAGAGACCAGAGAGAGAGACCAGAGAGAGAGAACAGAGGGAAACCAGAGAGAGACCAGAGAGAGACCAGAGAGAGAGACCAGAGAGAGACCAGAGAGAGACCAGAGAGAGACCAGAGAGAGACCAGAGAGAGACCAGAGAGAGAGACCAGAGAGAGACCAGAGAGAGAGACCAGAGAGAGACCAGAGAGAGAGACCAGAGAGAGACCAGAGAGAGAAACCAGAGAGAGAGACCAGAGAGAGAAACCAGAGAGACCAGAGAGAGAGACCAGAGAGAGAGACCAGAGAGAGAAACCAGAGAGAGAGACCAGAGAGAGAAACCAGAGAGAGAAACCAGAGAGAGAGACCAGAGAGAGAAACCAGAGAGACCAGAGAGAGAGACCAGAGAGAGAGACCAGAGAGAGAAACCAGAGAGAGACCAGAGAGAGACCAGAGAGAGAAACCAGAGCGAGAGAACACAGAGAAACCAGAGAGAGACCAGAGAGAGACCAGTGAGAGAGACCAGAGAGAGACCAGAGAGAGAGACCAGAGAGAGACCAGAGAGAGAAACCAGAGCGAGAGAACAGAGAGAGAGAACAGAGAGAAACCAGAGAGAGACCAGAGAGAGAGACCAGAGAGAGGCCAGAGAGAGAGACCAGAGAGAGAGACCAGAGAGAGGCCAGAGAGAGAGACCAGAGAGAGACCTGAGAGAGAGACCAGAGAGAGACCAGAAAGAGCACAGAGGGACCCCAGAGAGGAGCACTACGTCCGCGCACTAACTCCTAAAGACTTCCCTCCTGCTCACTTCCGTCAATAGAAGCAGCGTGAGCGGGAGAGGGGTCTTTAGGAGTTAGTGCGCGGACGTAGTGCTCCTCGTATTATTACCACTCACAATACCCCTCTTAATCCGCTGAGAAAATCAACATGTCACATTTCTGTGTTACTATACTTTGTAGAGTAACACGTCACGTAACTGTTTTTAAATAGGGAACACGTGGAAGAGTTTGGTAGCTTCCAAAGGGGGGCTGATTTGGTACTATACAGTCTGTGGAAGAGGCTGCGTTTGTTCTCCGTTTGCATGACAGAGCACACGGACAAAGACCAGACAGGTACATATCAACTAGTCTAAGGTAAGGTAAAGACATATGTCAGTATGTTAAAACGGTGGCCTATTCCTTTAAAAAGGGTGAATATAAGCTGGTTTTGACTGCAACAATCGTTACTCTCTGAGTTAGCACAAAAATTAAATCTACCGCCGAGCAGAAGCTGTGATATTTACAGAATGTCGATAGTGGAAACACATTTGTATTTTCGTGAATCATGAATATTGACTTTTGGTCCAAGTGATCAAGACAAGTCATTCTGTTGACAGTAAAATATTGATAGGACTCGGAAAGAACTAGGTGAGCACGAGGCCATCTGCTGTGACTGGAAAGGCGACAAGAGATTCAGTTGGGGATGGGAATATAACACTTGGCTAAGGACAGGTTTTATTTAAGCCCGAGTACCTTATCTCTGTCTAAATAGGATTTGAATGAATGAATCAATGCTTTTATCAGTCCCACAGTGGGGGAACTCTCTTTGTATCTCCTTCCAGAAGTATTTTGTAAACACCAAACTAAATTAGTCCGTTTATTTGAGTTAGGACAGAGACAAACTGCTGTAGAGTTGTCTGAAACATGTTTTATGGTGCCTATAGCCAAAGCTCATTCGCAGCACTTGATAAAGCAGGATTTGTCCCTAAAACTGTTGAATACTCATAAGAAAGAGCCATGTGAGCCACTACAGACATCTATAGACATGTTGAATATTTATGTTTAAGTTCGATGATGCAGTAGACCTTCAGGCAGAAGATTGTAGCAAATCACTCAAATCTTGGCCTTTCGTCCCGGGCTGCCAGAGATATTCCATATATCTTGCAGCGGACAAAATGCCAAGATTTTGCTTCAGGTTGGACACGGTTCACAGAGACATTGAAACCGCTGATGATTTATGTTACTGTGATCAGGAATGAACAAAGGGTCACTTCATTTTCATAGGAATGACTCTGTTTAGGCTGTTGTTTCTGCAATTACCGTGGTGACAACCTGGATCTACAGCCTCAGTCCTGGATCAACAGCCTGAGTCCTGGATCTACAGCCTCAGTCCTGGATCTACAGCCTCAGTCCTGGATCTACAGCCTCAGTCCTGGATCTACAGCCTCAGTCCTGGATCTACAGCCTCAATCCTGGATCTACAGCCTCAATCCTGGATCTAAAGCCTCAGTCCTGGATCTACAGCCTCAGTCCTGGATCTACAGTCTCAGTCCTGGATCTAAAGCCTCAGTCCTGGATCTACAGCCTCAGTCCTGGATCTACAGTCTCAGTCCTGGATCTAAAGCCTCAATCCTGGATCTACAGCCTCAGTCCTGGATCTACAGCCTCAATCCTGTATCTACAGTCTGTCCATCTGTTTCTAACTTATATTTTATTTTTTTCAGTGATTCTTTGCCAATGCAGGAGGGTCTTAGGACAGTGAACATCCTTAATATTTCTGGACAGTAGTCATCTCACTCCTTATGGACCAATGCATCCTATGTATTGCTTATTATTGTGTTTCCTGCTTTCTAACGGAATGATTCTCTGATAAGTTGTTGGCGAATCCACAACTTCATAAAGTCCTTCGAGACGACTGCGGTTGGGATTTAAGACGATAAGCAAATACATTGATTTCAACAATCGATCAGCAGCGTTGAAGCGTCAGTCCTCGTTTGAACGTGCTCAGACCACAGACCAGTCCCTGATCTGTTTAAGCCGTTTGGTATCAATGCAAAGGAAAAGGACTCACGCGCTGCCCTGCCGCTCCTGGGATCCCCGGCACCCCCTGAAGGACAGAGCAAGGACAGAGATAAAACGTGAGCGATAAGAGAAGGGAGGGGCCACGTCATACACACACACACAAACACAAACACACACTGCTACATGCACCCAACACAATACTGTTTCCACTGTGTAGCGAACAGTGTGGAGTTTAAATGAGCTGGAAGGTGATTCTGGGCTGTCCTTGTCAAAGATTAAGGAGATGAAAGAGGTTTGGATTTTCGCTCTCGTCAGATGAGAGAGATTTGAGTGAAAAAGCCAAATTGTGATTCTTGGATAGCCTCTCGCAGGAACTGTAATTGTAGTCACGGTAACTCACCTTTTGATGTTGAATATACCTGTATTATTAATGTATTAGTTATGAGGATGAACATGAGCCCCTTTTCCACCAGCCCATCTCTACTCTACTCTGCTCTGCTCTGCTCTACCCTACGCTACTCTGCTCTTACCTGATTGTGTTTCCATTGCGCTTTAGTATGGAAACGCTCCCAATCGGGAAAGAGTAGAGTAGAATAGAGCAGATCAGAATTGCATAAAGAAGAGTAGAGTAGAGCCAAGAAGAGTCCTCTGAGATGACTACTGTTGTGATTTAGGTGTATTGCTGGGTTGCAACCACGTGACCAAAAGGGGGCGTAGCAGGGGGTCATAGGACAGGAAGTAATTTTCTCCTATTTAATAGAATGGGCGATGAGGGAAAACGCCCACCCAGGAGCGTTTCGCGGCTTAATGTCACTCTTATTTTGAGTGAAAACTATGTTAAATGCAGCGTAGGCCTTGAAGAGTTTGAATGAATACATTTTTTTCAACAATGAGGAGGATTAAGCAGCTGTTATAGTGACAACAGTGAAGTTCGTCACTCTGGGATCAACAGAACCACGTCTGAGATGTTAGTTCTGATCAATAACACAATAAAATAGGGCACAAATTTTACTTTTAACAACATTTTAGGCGAGAAATATGACCCTCGAGTGTCATTTTGGTGATATGTTGAGCTGTAAATAAAAAAAAAATCAGGCTCCAAGGGGGGGCTCCGTAGCGTTAAGCTAACAACGGGGGGCTGCAACGAACGCAGCCGTCCTGGGGGCACAGAGCTCAGATACAACAATTTTTAGATTATATGTGAGAAAACTTAGACTGTACAGCCTGCTTTTAGCTTTGTTACACATGTACATGTTGGTTTGAGACAAAATTTATTTAACAGTTCTTTCACTCTGTTTCCTCGGTTGCTACAACCGTATACCACACAAAAAAACTGTATCTATGAAAGTGAGAGAAGTAAAGACTGCGGACTGTCAGCTGTGTCTGCGGCCTCAGGTGCTACGCAGGCTAATGCTACGCAGGCTAATGCTACGCAGGCTAATGCTACGCAGACTAATGCTACGCAGGCTAATGCTACGCAGGCTAATGCTACGCAGGCTAATGCTAACGCATTTCTTCTGTTCCTTATTAGGCATTTTCCAAAAGATTTTAGCAAAATAGAGACTTCATACGTTCCCCACTTGATATGAGCAGTTTCTAAAACGGCAGCATTTTGACTCAGAATCATTTAATTTTTACATTGTTATTAATGGGGAGATTTACTTCCTGTCCCTCGGAGGACTTTTGCGCTGCTGCGTGACGTCAGAATAAACTGAACTGAAGAGAGTAGAGCAGAGAAGAATAGAGTGTGGCTGGTGGAAACTGTGTATTAATCCCAGTTTTGTCTTTTCCCAAATCTAACCAAACATTTAGATTTTTACTGATAAACTACTTTTAAGATTCAAGAATGTATTTTCCTTTGCTGTAAAACCACATTGAAAAAACTGCAAGTTTACCCCAGTGTGCACCAGACAGAGGAGATGGTGCACACCAGCGTTCCTTCCACACGCGCCAAATAATAGAAACAATAAGGAGCAGTTAGACACATTTCACAAGGTCAAGTTGAATGTTCATGAAACCAAAAAGAGTAAACATTGTCAAAGCCCATCTGAAAGTAAGAGCAGCCGAGAGACAGAGACAGACTCACTGGGGTTCCTGGAGGCCCCTGAGGACCCGGGATCGGAGCAGTTACAGTCCCTTTCTCATAGACGACCTGAGAAAGACAAGGTTTATATGAGAAAAATGCAGAAAACAAAACTTATATCAAAAGTAATTCCTCTGTTTTGGTCAATGGTTTAATTTCGTAATTTGATTGTTAATGTGAAGATGTTTTAGCTTTTTACAGCAAAATGTATGCGCGTAAAGTGAGCGAACAAGAAAAGAGAAGCTTAATGTTAATGTTAGCCATTGTTCACTAATTTCACACAATCAACAGTGTCATGGTGGGGATTTGTTGTTCTCTGGTACTTGATTTTATTTTGGCATCAGTTCTGTAGTTGATTTTTGTTTTGTTTTACTTCCTGTCCTGTTCCCCATGTGACGATGGTCTGCCGTGCCTGAATGTGTGTCTCTGTGTCTCTGTGTCCCTCTGAGTCTGTATGTCCCTGTGCTTTCCCCCATTTGTTGCTGGTTTACATTTCTCAAATTTGACAAAATGTATCTTCATACGAGCACCTTTTGACTGCCCTAAAACAAAATTTGCCAATGAGACAAGGGATATGATCTTGTTTAAAAAGATACAAGAAATGTCTCTCCTGGAATCATAAAATAAAGCAACAGTTCTTGTAATAAGACTAAATGACTTTTTCCCATTGCAAGTCTGGTGTTAAGACAGTCAGAATGTACTGAGATTAAGATAAAAACCACTCGATTCAAGCAATTATGACTTCATATTTCATCATTTTTTGGTAAGTCATTTCACTGACCAAGGTCAGGGCTTTACAACGTTTTTAGAATCCTGGTTCCTGTGTTCTATTTGTTTTTTTGTGATTGTTTTTACCTTGGATTTGTATTTCTTCACCATCATTAAATCATATTACTTTAGCATTCTTTCATTTAGGGTCCTTTCTTTGTTTTCACCTCGTGACAGTCAGACGCAGACTGAACAAGAAAACTACATATATTTCATTAATGTGAGTGTGTTTGAGTAAGATTGCAGTTAGTTATATTTATTTCAAACCTGCAGAACAGTTTCCTATATCTTCACACTAATACAGATTTGAAAAGAGATTTGGATGAATTATTATTATTTTTATTTCACCCATTCAACACACCACACAGTACAATTATCAGAAAACAGAATACAATGATACTGATGCAGGTGAATTCTCGCACCTGTCCGGGAGGCCCCACAGCTCCAGCCGCCCCTGCAGGCCCTGGAGGTCCTGGGGGTCCAGAGGGTCCACCCAGGCCACGGTCTCCTTTCAGCCCATCTCGACCCTGGAGGAAAAACACAGACCAAGAAAGGTTATAACAGAAGTTACTTTAGTATCAGACTTGAGAGGAGATCAAAACCAAATCAAAAGAGTCCAATTCCCTTCTTCTACCCAATGTAAAAATAGATAGACCTCAGGGTTCAGAGCTTGAGAAACTAGAAAAGAGCAGCAATTTAAAGTCCGGCAATTACTTTAATAAAACCAAAACCTATACATATGATACAAAAAAAACATGTATCAATGCAAACACATGACCTGTTGTGTAATAATGTCTAAGGGCTGTTGGGTAAAACACTTTACTAATTAAATAATCTATGACCATTGTGTGTCCTCTCTGCTCTGTGACCATTGTGTGTCCTCTCTCTGCACTGTGACCTTTGTGTGTCCTCTCTCTGCACTGTGACCTTTGTGTGTCCTCTCTCTGCTCTGTGACCTTTGTGTGTCCTCTCTCTGCTCTGTGACCATTGTGTGTCCTCTCTGCTCTGTGACCATTGTGTGTCCTCTCTCTGCACTGTGACCTTTGTGTGTCCTCTCTCTGCTCTGTGACCTTTGTGTGTCCTCTCTCTGCTCTGTGACCATTGTGTGTCCTCTCTGCACTGTGATCTTTGTGTGTCCTCTCTGCTCTGTGACCTTTGTGTGTCCTCTCTCTGCTCTGTGACCTTTGTGTGTCCTCTCTCTGCTCTGTGACCTTTGTGTGTCCTCTCTCTGCTCTGTGACCATTGTGTGTCCTCTCTCTGCACTGTGACCATTGTGTGTCCTCTCTCTGCTCTGTGACCATTGTGTGTTCTCTCTCTGCTCTGTGACCTTTGTGTGTCCTCTCTCTGCTCTGTGACCTTTGTGTGTCCTCTCTCTGCTCTGTGACCATTGTGTGTCCTCTCTCTGCTCTGTGACCATTGTGTGTCCTGTCTGCTCTGTGACTATTGTGTGTCCTCTCTGCTCTGTGACCATTGTGTGTCCTCTCTGCTCTGTGACTATTGTGTGTCCTCTCTGCTCTGTGACCTTTGTGTGTCCTCTCTCTGCTCTGTGACCATTGTGTGTCCTGTCTGCTCTGTGACCATTGTGTGTCCTCTCTCTGCTCTGTGACCATTGTGTGTCCTCTCTGCTCTGTGACCATTGTGTGTCCTCTCTCTGCTCTGTGACCATTGTGTGTCCTCTCTCTGCTCTGTGACCATTGTGTGTCCTCTCTCTGCTCTGTGACTTTTGTGTGAAAGTTTGGTAGTTTGTTTGAATAATTGTGACGTGTTAATCTATGTGTGGTCACCCGCCCGGGACGATGGAAAGAATAAGTAGCTAAATCTCTTCTTTTGTAAAGACTAATGGTTTTGTACATTGTCCCTGCTTCACCCAAAGCACTTTACAATGTTCAGAGTTCAGATATGTTTCCATTCTCTCCACACGGTGATGACAAAAGCAAGAAGCCGAACACACTGGCGCATCAAAGCCCCAACCGTCACCATCTATTCACTCACTCAATACATTACATTCAGAACTATTGTACATGTTTTCAGTGGTAGGGGAAACCTGAGCAGACACAGGGAGAACATGCAAACTCCACACAGAAAGGCCTGGAGGTGGAATCGAACCCAGGACCTTCTTGCTGTGAAACACTGGCTCTAACCGGTGACCTCTGTCTGTCCGCTCTCTGCTCTGTGCCTCTTCCTGCTCTGTGCTGCAGACGACAGCAGATGTGGCCCCTCCTCTCGAATCATTTATATGAATTTCAGTTTGGTGCCATGTGCTGCCCCTCTCTGAAGTGCCGTGCCCCTCTCTGAAGTGCCGGTGCCCCTCTCTGAAGTGCCGGTGCCCCTCTCTGAAGTGCCGGTTCCCCTCTCTGAAGTGCCGGTGCCTTTAATGTCTAAGCGTCCTCATTAAGGCCGACTATAGAGCGGTTATTGATCCGCGGTGAATCAGTGTATTGCCGACGCTCCGGGGTTTTACCAGCGCTAAGAGCAGATGCCAGAGGTCTGCAGTCACGGCCAGAATATAAACAGCTATTCACTTTTCTATTGTTCATTCAGGGCATCACACCTACTGCTTATGAAGGACACATGCTGTATTTAAAACAGGCACTTTTCAGTTTTTACACCACTGTTCCCACACCAGATCTTGAGTTGAATGTGGTTCATCCATGCCAGTATACAGTAGGGATGTGATATGGAAAAAAGCTTATACCACCTGGATATGAAAGGGAAAATAACACAATTACAGTATCATTTGCAAAATAAATTGCATTTTTTGACAGGATGTTGTGGGTCTATATGGATTCACACCACTGCTAGGCTGCTGCTAACGACTGGATTCTGAGCTTTACAACATGGTTCAACATGACTATATACAGTGGGGCAAAAAAGTATTTAGTCAGCCACCGATTGTTCTCCCACTTAAAATAATGATAGAGGTCTGTAATTTTCATCATACCCACTAAACATCCGACGTCCACTCAACCTCCAGATCACGTCAATATCGCGTCGGTCGGTCGTGACCTTTTATTTACGTCCAAACGACGTCTGTGCAAGGTGCGCATCTGGACGTAAAACAATGACCTCCCATATACGTGGATATGACGTTCAATCCCGACCTCCCCTAGACGTCGAAAACAGGTCATCGGCCGACCGACGCAGTACGTCTTGATCTAGCAATACAATATATAGGCTGTGAAGCAATATAAGTGAACCTGACGGTAGTGTAGTGGTTAAGCAAACGTGTGCAGTCTTGGTTACGTGGGTTCGAGCCCACGTGTGTGTGTATTATTATCTCTATATATTTGTTTTGATTTTTAACGAACAATTTTTTCCTGTTTGGTTAAAGACTAATAAACACTCAACATAGGATTACGTAGTGGCTAATAATAAAACTTGTGAATGTATGCATTTGTTGTGCTAACAATCTCAAGTTTGCAAATATGGGGTGAGCACTTGAGATTTTATGCAAATGCATGGGTTCACAAGTTTTATTATTAGCCACTACATAATCTTATGTTGAGTGTTTATTCGTTTTTAACCAAACAGAAAAATTGTTCGCTAAAAAGTGAAAAGTCAAAAGTTTTCCGACGGGGATTTGAACCCGCGTCGTTGCGACTGAAGTCTCATTACGCAACCGCTACACCACGGCCAGGCATTTTTTCTGACTACTGTGAAAAATTAATAAATAACACCCTAAACAACCGACGCACACTTATGCGCCGCGCAAGTATAACTTATAACTTTACAGCCTGACACGTGAGTCGCTCGGTCGAGGACCTGTTTTCCACGTCTAAACGACGTAAGGTGTGCATCTGGACGTCAAGCAATGTCTTCCCACACGTTGATATGACGTTGAATCTGTATCTCTGTCACTGCCCTGCTTTATTTACTTGGAATCATCCTCTCTAGTAAGTACACAGTCTGCACAGTTTTTAGATATAGATGTATCATTTCCACATTGAAAAGAGTTGGAGACAGAAAGTAAGTTGTTTTCTCACGTATACGTGGATTTTGTTAAGTATATTTTGTATATTATCTGTATTTTGAATTGCCAGTGCATGAATCTATAATAATAACGGCTGGCACTGCTCAGCTGAAAGGGAGACACCTTTTTTTAGTTTTTAAGTTAAAGTTTAAAATATGATATTGTTTTTCATATTTCAAACTATTTTTAACACATTAGAATTCTTAGGTTAGACTGTCCAACAAAGTATGTGTTAAAAAAGGTTAAGATTCTTGAGTTTTAAAATAATAATTCAATTCTAAAATGTAAAGTTACTGTATATTTCACAATGGTTTATAAACTGCAAAAAGACAACAGTATTTAGTAAACTAAGTTTAAAAACAGGGAGATCAGCTTTAATATTTGGGACACTCCCATCATTTAGACACCTGTGATGTCATCAGTTGGAGTTGAGTTCAGGTGTGGGACCATGTGGGACCATAGGAGCACACAGATGTTACCTGCTGCAGAAAGAGAGTTTAATGTTCATGTATTGCTTTGTTTAATAAATTGATTTAATGTCTTCCCAGGTCTTCAATGTCAGAGACTTTCACTTCTTCTCACTGTGGCTGTTTAAATGAGCCACTACAGTTGTTATTTTTGTTATTGTTAGCTGCAAATATTAAATATCCATTCATCTGCTGGTAGCAAGCTAACTAACGCTTGCAACTCTATTCAATTTCTTACTTTTTCTTATAAACTTTAAAACCAGCCATATGTTAATTAAAATACATTTACCTTTGCTAATGCAGTCAATTATTGTGAAATCCATAGAGTATAAGTTCATGATTGTTGCAATAACTAATGTTCTATGTGTATTCCTAATGTGTCATGTGTGTTTGAGTCTTACAGGTGTCAGACTGTGTTGAAGGTGTTCAAAGGTAAGAATCACACTCTCACACATTGATTGTTCTTCTGTATTATTATGTTGTTTTTAGAATAAACCATTATTTGGTGTATTCTCTTTGAAAACATCTATCTTTTTCTCAGATTGTTCAGCAACTCACTCAAGATGAGGGAAAAGAGCAACAAGGGGAAAATGCCCCCTCGGAAATGCAACATGTGTAGAGTAATACCATTTGTCCATGTGCAAAACAAATGCACATTTGCAATTGTTTTTTACATGGAATTACTCCAATGACCAAAGCCTTATCCCAAGTTTCTCAGACGGAGTGTCTTCCAGTGTCTCGAGCTAGTGCAGTGCCAAGGTTTGTATCACATGGTGACGGATCGAGTGGTTTGAGGCATTAATAGAAAGTTATGTGTTGTTATATCACTTTGCCACATTATGTTGAAACTAAACATGTTCCACATTTTCAGGTGCTGTGCTTGGACCTTGTGATGAGAGACTGAAGACCAAGAGAGGACACATGTTGGAACCTCAACATTCAATAAATGCATTCTTCTGCCTTTCAGATTGTGTTTTTACATCTGGGGAACCTAGAGTGTAGCTTGTGCCTGTTGATCCAAACATAGGCGCTACAATCATGTTTTTTTACTTTGGCATGAACTGTTCAGTACAGTAGTGTTCAGTACAGT